GCCATTCACATTCCTCAGCCCACCTGCCAGCCCCCAGCTCCCCACTGCCGCTCCCCAGCCTGCTGCGGGCCCTTCTCCTCAGTGGATCTGGGCACAGAGGCTCCTGGATGGCCACCCCGTGACCTCTGCCGCCTGCAGTGGACCTCGCTGAGGGTAGGGCCTGCCCTTGTTCCCTTTGTCCCGTCCCCAGCCCCCTAGCTGGTGGAGCAGGGCAGTGAGGAGAGCTGTCTGGGGACGGAGCCCGCGTAGTCGCTTCTTAGTGGCCTCGTGTGGCTCTGCCATGTTTCAGGGTCTCCGGGCACCTGCTCCCCCTCTGGTGGACTGAGCCATGGGCACTTGGGCCTGAGGGGCCTGCTGCCCAGTCACACGGCTCTGCCGGCTTTGCCACCCGCCTTCCCACACGAACGAAGGGCCTCTTCCAGGTGCCGACACTTGCTGAGCCGCCAACAAGCGTGTCCTCTCATTAAGAGACAGGCCAGGACCCCAGACAGGAAGTGGGGCACTCGTGGCCGTGGGGTGGGCATTCGGCAGGGACAGTCTCCTGGTGAGCCAAGTCCCGGCGGGGCGGTGAGAGCCTGGGTGGGGCTGGGGCCCAGTGAACTAAGGGTTCCCCGAGGCCTTGCTGCACGGCCCCCGCTGCCCAGGCATCTCGCACAGCAGCCCTGCCTCCGCCCGCTCGGCTCCCGCAGGCCAGGGCAGTGTCGGCTCGGCCTCTAGTCGATGACCTCATCTCACCTTGTCTCTATTTCTGCAGAAAGACAACACACTTTACTTAGAGTTGTGGCATCTGTGGAAGTTTCCCTTGGCTAAGTAACTAGAGGCCCTGTGCACAAAATTCGTACACGGTGTGGGGGGGTTCCCTTTAGCCCATCCTGCTCCCTTTCCAATCCAGGATCCCTTGGGGGATGTCTCACTGCCGGTTTAGGCCCTATCCCCTAAACCAGCAGTCAGACATTCCTCTCACAATCCTGGACCGCTGGCTCCTAATCACTCACTTGCCTGCCTGCCTACTCTCCCCTAACTGCCTCCCCCCCGCCAGCCTAGTTGCCCTCAACTGCACCCCCTTTGCCAGCCTGGTCACCCCCAACTGTCCCCCCTCCCTGCTGGCCTGGTCGCCCCACACAGCCTGCTGTTCAGTTCTTTGGTTGTCCCTCACTAACTCTCCTGCCGGCCTGGTTGTAGGCAGCCGTCTTGTGAGAGTGTGAGGGTCAATTTGCATATTACCTCTTTATTATGTAGGATGCCACAAATAAAACCAGCTCTTTTGATTGGCAGCTCACTCCAACAGCCCAAGCAGGGCGGATGTGAAACGCCCAGAACCAGAGGGCGTGGCAGGCGTGGGGCCTTGCAGCTGGGACTGCTCTGCCCCCAGCATTGCTGAGATTCTCCCCTCCCCCGGCCTCTCAGACTCTGCCTCTTGTTTTCTGTCCCTAGGTGCTAGGAAGTGGGCCCGAGAGGCAGGTGGAGCAGTGGTTCACGGGCACCTGCATTCAGGCGGAGGCTCCGTTCCCCGTGGAAGGTGGGGGTCATGACAGGGACCTGCTGGGGAGTGCTGAAACACTCCTGGGCTGGGGTCGGGGACCAGGGGCTTCCATCCAAAAGGCCAGGGGTCCCGGGGTGCTCTTGGCAGTCTCGGGGAGCCCAGGCTTTGGGGCCTCCCACCTCCGTCCACACTCCTGTGCAGACCGCCTGGCACAGAGCTGAGAACTGGAAAAAGTGGCCCAGATTATCTCTGTTTGACATTCCAGGGAGGCTTGGGGGAGGATTGTAGACAGAGGTGGGAGCTGCCCTGCTGAACCCCCTGGGCCTGGGTGTGGAGTGTGGGCCATTCCGGGGGAACCCTCCTGAGCTGGCCTCGCCTTCCTGGCTCCACCGAGGGAGGGGCTGGCCACTGGTTCTGGCTCCAGCAGCTGTTCCTGGGCTGGGGCTGAGAGAGAGGCTGAACGTAGCTAGGTGAGGGGCAAGGGGCAGGGGTCTCAGGCGGGGGTGGGAGGTGGAGTCAGGTCCTGGGAGGGGGTGACCCTGGAGTCACCGTAGACTCCCAGGTCCAGCTGCCCCAAGTCCCCCGAGCCTGCCTTCAGGGGCTCCCAGCGGGAGGGTGTCCCGCAGGCGCCCGCAGAGGGAGGGTCTGTGGGCAGAGGACGGCCCCAGGTGCTGGGGTGGGTGGGACGAGGTGTGCAGTGCAGCCAGCGCCCTTTCCTCCCCTGCGGCGGGGGGAGAGGGAGGGGGGGCTGCTCTGTGATGGGTTTGCGGAGACGGCCTTCACGTGACAAACCAGACAGCCTGGGTTCTGTGGGAAGCTCGCTGCGACTCGAGGGGGCTGTCTGCAGGGCGTGGGCATGTCTCCTCGTATGAAATGATGGCATCCCTTACACCTCGTTACAAAGTGAGGCTCTGGCTCTCATGTTGGCAGCGTCTTGGGGAAGTGAGACTGGTGCAGGGACCCGGGGCCCACTCTGCTGGGAAGCTGGGGGTTTCCTTTGGCTGGAGATGGAGGGCCAAACCCGTGCTCATGGGCTCTTGGGGTCCATTTCCCTGCCAGGCCCAGACTGAGGGAAGAGGGAAAGGTCCCACCTTGCAGGAGGGGCGGCGGGGTCTGGATCCCAGCTCTTGGGCAGAGAGGGGCATGAGAGGAGCTGTAGGTAACTAGCATAAAGGAGGGAAGGGGGTCTTGCCGGGGGTGGGGTGGGTGTGAGGCTCTGCTGAGCCTCAGGTGTGGTCTGGAGCTGGCAGGTACCTGCGGGCCTGGCTCAGTCTGGCTCATGGGAGGCTATTTGCCCGAGGGCCAAGGCAGGACAGGCTGGGACGGGGAGTCTGGACAGCTTGCGCCTGCCCCTGGCTCCAGGAGTCTGCAGAGGTGGCAGGTGGACACAGGCTGCTCAGAGCAGGGGTGCTGCCTGGACAGCACTTCCCTGGGCCTAGCTAGTCCCCAGTTCCATCCCCAGAAGCCGCCCAGGCCAGGCTCGCAGAGGCCAGAGCAGGTGGGGCCTGGACAGGGAAGCTCCTGGAGGTCCTGAGCAGGAAGAACCGGATCTCGTTTGATCTGGCCCAGGACGGAAAGAAGGGGTGCTCACTAGGCGCCCTAAATACAAGTCTGGCCAGAGGAGGGTCCGTTTCTGGATGGCCTCAGGCCTGGCCGAGTGAAAAGGGGACCTTCTGGCTGGAAGACAGCCAGGGCCTCCTGAGGCACATCATGTGACCACACCCAGGGACCACACCGGGGTAGTGGGCAGGAAGGCCACGGTGATTCTCTGTGGCTGTGCCCCTGCCAAGCTGCCTGCCTGCCTGGCTTCATAGATCCCAACCCTGGGAGGCCACTCAGCCCGCCCACGTGATGGGTCTTGCAGCCCAGGTGGCTGGGCATTGACTGGACTGGGCTAGGCCCAGGAGGAAAAGGCCTAATGCTGGGCCGGGTAGCCAGGGTGTTGGCCAGGTAAGGCGGGGCCTTGTTTGGCCTGAGGCCCAGGAGGTAGGGCCTGCCCTGGGGCAGTTCCTGGAGAGCCCAAGGAGAAGGCAGGCTTGCCCTGCCCAGCCTGGGGGCAGACAGGTTGTTGTTGTGGAACCTGGAGCCTTGGGACCTGGAGCAAAGCAGTCCCTGGGCCCTGGAGGCAGCCCCCTGCTCCCTCCTCAGCCCTTTCTTTAAAAAATAAAAATAAAAAGTATATATCTCCTGTGCAATAAAGAGCTAACATGCTAATTAGACTGGACTGCTGAACCATCTTCCGGAAAGGCTTTCCGAAGGACGAGTGGGTGGGGCCGCGGGGCCGTGGGGCAGCGAGCCCGAGCCCCTTGCTCGGATTTTGTGCATCGGGCCTCTAGTGTGTGTATATCAGAGAGGAAGGGAGAGGGGGAGAGAGAGAAGCATCCGTGAAGAGAGAATCATTGATTGGGGGCCTCCTACACACCCTCTACTGGGGATCAAGCCCACAACCCAGGCATGTACCCGACACGAACTGAACCATGACCTCCTGGTTTATAGTTCCAGGCTCAACCACTGAGCGACGCTGGCCCGAGCCTTCTCGGCGTTTTGAACACAGTGTGACTTAGAGGGGGGCAGAGCCAGCTGTAGGCCCCAGCTCCCAGCCCCAACTCCCCGCAGCCAGGACTATAGTCTAGCAGGGCTCTCTGTGGGCACGGGCTGGGCCTCACACAGGGCAGGGCCCTGGGCTCACCTGCTGGCTGCCGGGAGCCTCGCCAGCCTACGGGAGCCGCCTCCCTGTGCTTCCTCTTCCTCCTCAGGCTGTGGGGCCGCGGCTGTCTGCGGCTGGACTGCCTGCTCGGCTCCTCCACGGCGGCTGCCCTCCTGAAGACGGCTGCCCCACCTGCTCCGCGCGCCCCCGCACCCTCGTGTCTGGGACCCCCAGGCTCTAAGCACACACCCTGCCCTGGCTGCTCTGGCTGCTGAGCCCGCCCTCAGGCCACACCTCCTTGTTAGTGCCCATGCCCTGACCCTGGGAGGCAGACAGGAGGAGGCAGAGGACAAGGAGGCCAGGCCATGGCTGCTCCCAGGCCCTACCCGGGCTCCTGAGACCTGGAAGGAGAGGGGCTCCCAGGGGCCTCTGCCCACCGTCCCGCCCACCCTTCCCCTTCGGCAAGGCGCCAGGAAGCTGCGACTTTGTTACCGGGGCGACGAGCTACAGAACCTGGACTGAGGCAGACAGGTTTTCTGCTTCCAGGCTGTGCACCCTGACCCCAGGAGGGAGAGAGGGAGGCCCAGCCCTTCAACAGCTAAGCTGCCAGGGCTCCTGAGAAGCGGCTGCTGGGTGCCTTCCACGCTGCCCTTTCTGCCAGGGGCCTGTGCCCCTCAGGCTGCCTGAGCCTGGTAACAGAGTGGGATCTCCTGACCCAGCCTTGCCAGGGGCAGAGGGCACCGAGCCTTGAGGAGGGGATGCCCCCAAGGGTCCCAGACCAGCCGGCTGCCCCGCCCCTCAGGCCCAGCCTGGCCCCCTGGTTCCCCTGTCTGGTGCCCCGAGCAACCCCCCTGGCCGGAAGCCCCCGCCATGGCCGAGCACCTGGAGCTGCTGGCAGAGATGCCCGCGGTGGGCAGGATGAGCACGCAGGAGCGGCTGAAGCACGCCCAGAAGCGCCGTGCCCAGCAGGTGAAGATGTGGGCCCAGGCTGAGAAGGAGGCCCAGGGCAGAAAGGGCCCCCGGCAGCGGCTGCGGACGGAGGCGGCGGCTGGCGGCGGGCTGCAGAAGCAGGTGCTCTTCCCTCCCAGCATCACCCTTCTCGAGGCCGCTGCCCGGAACGACCTGGAAGAAGGTGAGTATGGCTGGCCCCAGGTCGGTGCCCGACCTACAGCCGTCCCCGTGGCCCTGGCACAGTCCTGGTGAGACCTGCCAAGGACACGCTGCACCTCACGGGGACCTGGGCCGGCCCGCTGCCTCAGCTGTGGCTGCAGGTGCGGGGGCAGCCTGCAGGCTCCCGCTGCAGGCGCGAGGTTTCCAGGAGCCCCCAGAGGTGTCCCGGGTGTGGCTGCCGTGGGCTGGGGCCCGTCTCCCTGCTGGGGCCTGGGCTGGGGATCTGGGAGGAAAAGGCCGGGGCTGGATGGTGCTCAGTAGAGACCTGTGGGGAGCAGGGCTTTCCCTCAGGGCCTTCCTGGCCTAAGCTTTGGGCCGGCTCCCCATCCCTCCCCAGCCTCCTTCCAGAGCAGGGGCCTCTGCTGCAGAGCCCGGGGTGAGGAAGGCCCGAGCTGGGGAAGTGGACAGGGTGTGGTGGGCGTGGCCCAGGGCACAGGGCACTGTGGGAAAGCGGGTGCGTCCTTGTGCTGCCTCAGGCACCCCCAGGGAGGTCCAGGCCACAAAGAGGTCCCAGATGACCTTGGCAAGAACCTGGGCCCAAGGTGGGGCTGCTGAAGAGGAGTGAGGGCTGGGCAGTTCTGCTCCTAGGGAGACCCTGGGGAGCAAGCCTGGGCACTCAGCCCGCACTCGCAGTGGGGGGAGAGAGCCCGCAGTGGGGAGAGGGAGGTGCAGGTAACAGGGATGGGCGTTTTGGGGGCCAAGAGGGCTGGGTGAGACACGAGACATGGGGAGGGGGTGGAGGAGGGCGCCAGCACCCTGGCTAGAGTGGGGTCATCAGGAGCCCAGTGCGACCTCGCTCACCAGGAGGGGGTATGGCTGAGAGTCTGAGGGGTGGAGTGCCAGGATTTGGGAAGAGTGGGTGCAGCTAGGGTCGAGGCAGAGACCTCCTGCCACCTGTGCCACCATTGTCCTCATCCTTCTCTGCTCCCAGCCACAGCACAGCAGTCAGCCAGGTAACCTCAGGGGCAGGGCCCATCCAGGACAGAGCCGTCCTGTGGCAGGATCTCCATTCCTGCCCTGAGCCTCCCTCCTTCTTGCAGTCCGCCAGTTCCTACAGAGCGGGGTCAGCCCAGACCTGGCCAATGAGGACGGTCTGACAGCCCTGCACCAGGTGAGCGCTGCAGGGGCCGGAGGGCGAGCTGGCTGGGGCTGGGGCCGGGTGTGGAGGGGCCGGCCCGGTGCTCAGGCCGCCTGGTTTGCAGAGCTGCATCGATGACTTCCGGGAAATGGTGCAGCAGCTGCTCGAGGCTGGGGCCACAGTCAATGCCCGCGACAGTGAGAGCTGGACCCCCCTGCACGCTGCGGCCACCTGCGGCCACCTGCACCTGGTGGAGCTGCTCATTGCTCGGTAGGCCCCTGAGGGGGGCTCGGGCAGGAATGGAGATCCTGCCACAGGCCGGCTCTGTCCTGGGCGGGCCCTGCCCCTGAGGTTACCTGGCTGACTCCTGTGCTGTGGCTGGGAGCAGAGTGGGCATCTGTGTCAGAGAGGGGCCATGGCTGGGCAGCGGGAAGTCGATCCCGAGACACAGCCCGGGCACCTCGCCTGGAGGAAGTGTGCCCTCGCCTCTTGTTCCCATTGGCCTTTGCTTACCGCCTGTGTCCTGGTGTGGAGAGCTGGTTGTGGCAGGGGCCACGTGCACTCTGGACAGGGTCGTTGTCGGCCGCCTGGCTGCTTACCTGGGTGACCTGTCAAGGACTGTCATGGATTCAGAAACTCCTTGAGGGCAAGCCTTGACCTCCAGCACTGGCCTCCTGGCCCCCCAGGCTCTGAACAGAGAATACCACTGTGGTCAGTGATGAGGGTAAAATGGACCAGGTGAGGCCCTAACCATGAGGAGTGATCGTGCCGATGGTCAGCTTCACCAGATCCAGTAGTCCTCCTTCCCCCACCCACAGCTCCTCGACCCTGACCCCCCTGGTAGGATATGGATGGTTAGCTGCTCAGACTGCTTGTGGAGCGGCCCGTTCATTGATGGTATGTGCAAGAGAGGGGTAGTACTGAGCCCCTCTCCTCTCCAGCAGGCCAGGGCAGCCTCTCCCAGCAGCATCTGGGGCCTGGGCCTTCTCATTGTTGGCCCCACTGCCCCAGAGGCAGCCCTAGGCTGAGGCACCTCTGAGTGAGGCCTGGGGCCTCCCTTGTAGGGAGAAGGTGGGGGGCCCTGTGGCCAGCATCCTGTCCATCTTCCCTGCAGGGGTGCCGACCTCTTGGCAGTCAACAGCGATGGAAACATGCCCTATGACCTCTGTGAGGATGAGCAGACGCTGGACTGCCTTGAGACGGCCATGGCCAACCAGGGTGAGTGTGATCCCACCTGCTGCCGGTGGGGCCCTTGGTGCTGGCTCTGAGCCTGTTGCCCCGCAGGCATCACCCAGGACAGCATCGAGGAGGCCCGGGCCTTGCCGGAGCTGCACATGCTGGAGGACATCCGGGGCCTACTGCAGACAGGGGCCGACCTGGACGCCCCTGGGGACCACGGGGCCACGCTGGTGAGGCCCGGCCGGGGAGCGCAGGGGGCGGAGGGGGCCGCGGGCGTGGCCAGGACTCAGGGGGGGTGTCTGCCTAGCTACACATCGCCGCCGCCAACGGGTTCAGCGAGGCAGCGGCGCTGCTGCTGGAGCACCGGGCCAGCCTGGGCGCCAAGGACCAGGACGGCTGGGAGCCGCTGCATGCCGCGGCGTACTGGGGCCAGGTGAGCGGCTGGGGCGGCGGGCGGCGGCGGCCGGGCGCTGAGGGGCTCCCCGCTCGAGCTCAGCAGCCTGGTCCATGGGCCGCAGGTGCACCTGGTGGAGCTGCTGGTGGCACACGGCGCCGACCTCAATGGAAAGTCCCTGATGGAAGAGACGCCTCTTGGTGAGCTGGGACCACCTCCTCGGGGTGCAGGGGAGCAGAGGGAGGGCGCCCTTGACCGATGCCCGCTCCTCCGCAGACGTGTGCGGGGACGAGGAGGTGCGGGCCAAGCTGCTGGAGCTGAAGCACAAGCAGGATGCGCTCCTGCGGGGCCAAGGCCACCAGCGCTCTCTGCTGCGCCGCCGTACCTCCAGTGCAGGCAGCCGGGGGTGAGCACCTGCGCCCTGCCCGGCCCCGCCCTCGCCCCCCTGGCCATGCCCAGGCCTTTGCCCCCTCTGACGGCAATGGCAGGCCACGGTGCCAGCTGGAGCGTGGGGCAGAGTCCACGGGGAGGGAAGCGTCCTCCCCAGCCTCACCCTGCACTCCCCCAGGAAGGTGGTGCGGCGGGTGAGCCTGACCCAGCGCACCAGCCTGTACCGCAAGGAGCATGCCCAGGAGGCCATTGTGTGGCAACAGCCACCGCCCACCAGTCCGGAGCCGCCAGAGGAGGATGAGGACGGCCAGACAGACACCGAGCTCGGGCCACCGCCCCCGGAGGTGAGCCCCGCCCCTCGCTGTGGAGCAGCCTTGACCCGGGAGCCAGTGGATCCGTGACCCTGCGCCACAGACCGCTGGTGCCCCGCCCCCGTGCCTCTCCTTCGCCACACGGCAGTGGGCCCAGGTCCAGGGGAGCCAGACAGGGTCCCCTGAATGGCCTCTGGGGCCCGTGCTCCCCTTACAGGAGGAGGACCCCGAAGTGTCCAGGCCACACAACGGCCGCGTTGGGGGCACCCCGGGACGGCACCTGTACTCCAAGCGGCTCGACCGGAGCGTCTCCTACCAACTGAACCCCCTGGAGAGCGTGGCCCCCGACAGCCAAAGCCGCAGCCTGGGCCGCTCCAAGGCCCACCACACCCTGGCGGAGCTCAAGCGCCAGCGAGCGGCCGCTAAGCTGCAGCGCGGGCCCGAGGCCCCCGGGTCCGGTCTGCCCGCGGACACGGAGACCCCCCGGCCTGAGAGTGGCTCCGGGGCCGGCGGGGACCCACCCCTGCTCAAGCTCACAGCCCCCTCCGAGGAGGCCCCCATGGAGAAGAGGCCCTGCTGTCGGCTCATGTGAGGGGCTGGCGCTCGGGGCCGAGGCTGCTGCCAGGCCCAGCGGAGCTGCCTCGGGCCTTTTGCCGGGGAGCCGGACTTGTGCCCTGTGGGCAGGCAGGCAGCCAGCCGCCGGGGACCCCACCTCCTCAGACAGAAGCCATACCTGGGGCACCTGGTTACAGAGACCTTGTTTCATCCTGTGACTCTCAATAAAGAGCCCTCTGCCACCTGCCTTGTGTCTCTGCTGGGCCACCATCCCCCTGGGAGCTGCTGTGCGTGCGCCATCCCTGTGCGCCTGCGGGCCTGTGGGTGCACGCTAGGGCTCGCTGGTGGCAGCCCAGCCCATGTGGGAGTGAGGCCCACAGATGCCGGGCAGGAAGCCTGGCCCTCGCCTTGCCCTGCCTTCCCTGGCTCTCGGCGGCTCCTCTGTAACTCTTTGTTGTCCTAAAGGAGCTGCAGAAGGACACCCCCTGGGGACAGGGATGCGTGCCAGGGGAGCAGAGATCCTGGTTTGGTGAGGGAGGGGCCAAGACATACAAGGCTAGTGTCAGAAACCTGGGGCAGGTCCCCCATTCTTGGCATGCAGCCCGTTCCTGGGGCCTCGCTGCCAGATTTTCCCTGGGCTGGCAAAGGGGGCCAGCAGTTGGCCACTCAAGCTCTGAGCTGGCTGTGTACCATGTGTCGGGGTGACAGGGGCCCCTTAGGGGCCTCGCGTGGGAGGGCCGAGGGCACTGCCAGCTCCTGTCCATGGAGGGAGGTTCTGCATGGCCACCAGCGCTGGGTGGCATGGGCTCAGGGCACCTTCCCCTCCTCGCTGGACACCGACCTGGTCAGCCCTCCCCTGAGCCTTGTAGTGGGAGGGGTCGCACCTGGGGGAGGGGCAGGTGTGAGCTGCCGGTTGCAGGTGCTCTGCCCAAGTCCACCTGCCACCGAGCTGCCGGGTGGGAGGGGCTGGCTCCGCCTGGGGCTGGGCCCATATTAGCCTGCACTCTGGCCTGGGGGCCGGAGGGACAGACCTGCTCACAGGAAGGCTGAAGAGGCAGCAGAGTGGCAGTGGAGCAGAAGGTGTGAGGTGAGAGTGAGGCCGGCGCCTGCCCGGGCCCCTCTGTCCTCCAGGCAGCGGAGCCAAATGGCTGGGCTCCCCTCCGGCCTGACCAGCCGCCCACGGGACAGCACGGATGCAGGCTCCCTGACCCTCAGCTCAGTCCCTGGCTCAGCGTCAGATGCCATAGCTGGGGTGGCCACCCTGGGCAGGGCCTGTGGGGGTGGGGCTCTGAGGGCCTATCACTGCTCACTCCCAGCTCTCCACCAATTAGCAGCTGCGGGAAGTAGAGCTGAGGTCACCCTGCCTGTGGGGTGGCCCCAAGGGCAGCCCGTCGGCCTGGTGAAAGGGCACCCGTGCCGGGCAGCGAGTGTCCACGGGCCTCCCCCCAACACGGCCGGGGTCTCGCCGTGCTGATGGCACCCAAGGCCTGAGAACAGGCCCCTGCAGCCCCCACCCTGCCATGACCGCCCACCCAGGAGGGGCCAGATGGAATCCTCAGGGCCTGCCCCCTCCCCCAACACCCCAGGATTCCTGAGGCTTGGCTCAGTTACCTGGGAGATAGGGCTGCTGACCCAGCAAAGATGGGGGACTCCATGGGGCTGGGCTTCCTCCTCGTCCAGCTGGGGTAAATCTCCACTCTTTCCTCTGGATTCAGCCCTGCCTAGCTCTGCCCACCCCTTTGGGGCACTCAGCCCAGCTCCCCTCCCCCAGACCCAGTCCCTCAAAGCGTCCTGCTCCGTCTGTCCCTCCCCCCCATGTGGGTCTCCTGCTCCTGTCATGGGGACACGGCAGGCTCTGGGCTGAGCCCCAAGCCCCGCCTGCCTCCTCACCCACTCCCTGTGGCTCCCCGGGGCAGAGCTGTGCCCAGATGGGTGGGGCGGGGCCCTGTGGCCCCAGAGGCCCTCGCTCCGCCTTCAGCCTTTCCTGTCCCTCCAGTGGGGCCAGCAGGCTGTTGAGAAGAGGGCCCTTCTTACCTGGAGCCCCTACCCTGCCTCCCCCTTGCCAGCCCTGGCCCGCTGAGCCGGGACTCGGCTCCCTCGTTCCTACGTCTGGATCCTGCCACCTCCTGAGCCTCCCTCCCGCCCGGGTGTAGTAGGTTGATGGCAGTGAGGACGGTTGGCCACAACCAGGCCGCGATGAACGGGCTGAAGGAAAAGGTGCTGACGCTGGACACCATGAACGCCTGTGTGAAGCGGGTGGAGTATGCCGTCCGAGGCCCCATCGTGCTGCGCGCCCTGGAGCTGGAGCAGGAGCTGAGCCAGGTATGGCCCCGGGCCCACCACAGCCCTCCGGGCAGCACCCAGCAGCCCCCGGGACAGGAGCTGGGGAGGGAGGAGGCCCATTTTCAGTGTGGCGCCTCCTTCCTCCAGGGGGTGAAGAAGCCCTTCACGGAGGTCATCCGCGCCAACATCGGGGATGCACATGCCATGGGGCAGAAGCCCATCACCTTCCTGCGCCAGGTGAGGCTGGTGCTGCCCCGACGGCCTCCCCAGGGAGCCTGTCAGCCCTGAGCCCTGTACCCTGTGTCCTGTGCCCTGAGCCCTGAGCCCAGCCCTATGCCATGTGTCCTGAGCCCAGCCCTATGCCCTGTGTCCTGAGCCCTGTGCCCTGTGATGTCCTGAGCCCTGAGCCCAGCCCTGTGTCCTGTGCCCTGTGTCCTGTGCCCTGTGCCCTATGCCCTGTGCCCTGTGTCCTGAGTCCTGTGATGTCCTGAGCCCTGTGCCCTGTGTCCTGTGCCCTGAGTCTGGCTTCAGCAATCGCTCCTCCCAGGTCCTGGCCCTCTGCGTCCACCCGGATCTCCAGGACAGCCCGGACTTCCCCGAAGATGCCAAGAGAAAGGCGAGGAGCATCCTACAGGCTTGCGGGGGCCAAAGCCTAGGTGAGCCCACACAGAGCCCCAGGGAGGAGGACTGGAGGAGGTTGTTCCAGGGCGAGGCGGCGAAAGGGGCGTGGCTATGTGAGGGGCGTGGCTGGGCGTGGCTTCTGGGAAAGGGGCGGGCGGCGGTGGAAGGGCGGGGCAGCGGGGCGTGACGGTGGGGAAGGGGCGTGGCTTCTGGGAGGGGGCGTTGCTGCGGGGCGGGGCAGCGGGGAAGGGAGGGGTGGCAGGGAAGGGGCATGGCTACGGGGAGGGGCGTGGCTGCGGGGAGGGGGGGGTGGACCCCCCTCTGGAAGGAGAGGATCTTTCCAGGAGCATCCCGGACCTAACAGGCTCCCTGCCCTCCCCTCTCCCTCCCCTCCTCGGCCAGGGGCTTACAGCAACAGCTCGGGCATCCAGCCCATTCGTGAGCACGTGGCGCAGTACATCCAGCGGCGCGACGGCGGCATCCCCGCGGACCCCAACAACATCTTCCTGTCCACGGGGGCCAGCGACGCCATCGTGGTAGGCGGGGGCGGGGGGGACCGGCAGGACGCCGCCGCGGTTCTGTGTCCGGGACCAGGCTCCTCCGGGCACCCAGGCACCATCAACCACCGCCTCCCGCCCCGCAGACGGTGCTGAAGCTGCTGGTGGCCGGCGAGGGCCGCTGCCGCACGGGCGTGCTCATCCCCATCCCGCAGTACCCGCTCTACTCGGCGGCGCTGGCCGAGCTGGACGCCGTGCAGGTGGACTACTACCTGGACGAGGACCGCGCCTGGGCGCTGGACGTGGCCGAGCTGCGGCGCGCGCTGTGCCAGGCGCGGGGCCACTGCCTGCCCCGCGTGCTCTGCATCATCAACCCGGGCAACCCCACCGGTGCGCCCGCCGCCGCCCCGCCGCCGCCCCGCCCCCACCCTCCCCGCCCCTCCCCGCCCCCGCCATCTCGGCCCGCCCCCCGCCCCCGCCCTCCCTGCCTCGCCCATCCCGCCCGCCTCCCGCCCCTTCGGTCCCGACCGCCTGTCCTCATCCCACCGCCCGGCCGAGAGCCTGGTGCGCCTGGCTGACCCCGGACCTGCCGTGTCCCCGCGCCCAGGCCAGGTGCAGACCCGCGAGTGCATCGAGGCCGTGATCCGCTTCGCCTTCGAGGAGAGGCTCTTCCTGATGGCGGACGAGGTGCGGGCCGGGGCGCGGGGAGCGGGGGACGGGGTGCTGGCCGCGGGAGACGGGGTCGCGGTGCGGGGGACGGGGTGCAGGGGGCGGGATGCTGGCCGCGGGGGACGGGGTCGGGGGTCGGGGTGCGGGGACGGGGGCAGGGTGCTGGCTGCAGGGGGCAGGGTGCTGGCTGGGGACCGGGTCGGGAGGCCGGCCGGCCCGGGCTCCCGCCCTGACGCCGGCGCCCGCCCGCCCGCCCGCAGGTGTACCAGGACAACGTGTACGCCGAGGGCTCGCAGTTCCACTCGTTCAAGAAAGTGCTCATGGAGATGGGGCCGCCCTACTCGACGCAGCAGGAGCTCGCCTCCTTCCACTCCATCTCCAAGGGCTACATGGGCGAGTGCGTGCGGGCCGGGCCCCGGGCGGGGCCTCTCCGACCCCTGCCGACCCCCCTCGGCCCCGCCTGGACGCGCCTCTTCCTTGCAGGTGCGGGCTGCGCGGCGGCTACGTGGAGGTGGTGAACATGGACCCCGCGGTGCAGCAGCAGCTGCAGAAGCTGGTGAGCGTGCGGCTGTGCCCGCCGCTGCCTGGCCAGGTGGCGCTGGACGTCGTGGTCAGCCCGCCTGAGCCCTCGGACCCCTCCTTCGCGCAGTTCCAGGCGGTGAGCAAGGCGGCCGGGCGGGGGGCGGCCGGGCGGGGGCGCTGCACCCACACCTGACGGGCCGCCCTTCCCTCTGCAGGAGAAGCAGGAGGTGCTGGCCCAGCTGGCGGCCAAGGCCAAGCTGACCGAGCAGGTCTTCAACGAGGCTCCGGGCATCCGCTGCAACCCGGTGCAGGGCGCCATGTACTCCTTCCCGCGCATTCACCTGCCCCCGCGCGCCGTCCGCCGCGCCAAGGTGCGGGCCCCGCGGGCAGCCGGTCCCCGGGGAGACGAGGCAGGGCGCGGCCTGGGACGCCCGCCTGACCGCCCTGCTCCTCTCCCCCCGCAGGAGCTGGGTCAGGCCCCCGACATGTTCTTCTGCCTGCGGCTGCTGGAGGAGACGGGCATCTGCGTGGTGCCGGGCTGCGGCTTCGGGCAGCGCGAGGGCACCTACCACTTCCGGTGAGGCCGCCCGCCGCCCCTCCCCCCTCGCGGCCCCGCCGCCCCGGCTCCTCTTACCTTCCTCCCCTTTAGGATGACCATCCTGCCCGCCGCGGAGAAACTGCGCCCCCTTCTGGAGAAGCTGAGCCAGTTCCACGCCAAGTTCACCCGCGAGTACTCCTGAGTCCTTCGGGGCCGCCTGAGTGCTGGGCGCCGCCTCCGCCGCCTCCAATAAAGCTGGGGAGCTGGCGTCTGGCCGGTGTGCACGTCTGTGGGCGCCTCCCCCCTCCTGGGCCTGTGTGAGCGGGCCTGACCTGCCGTCCTCCCAGATGAGCGGCCCTTCCTGCTATCGCAGCCCGGCAGGGCCTGGCTCTGCACGGTGGCTCAGAGACAGGCGTGGTGTTCTGGCTGCCACCGGGGGCTGCAGGGGGAGCCGAGGAGCAAGCGGGTCTCCCAGCCTGGGCTGTGTGTGAAGCGCGTGGTGGATGTGTGTGGCTTCGGAGGGCACATGCAGCCCTGGGGCTGGGGGCCTGGGAGGCAGGGAGGGGGCCCTCCCACCCGAGCTGGAGCATCCGAGGGGAAAGCGGGAGGGCAGGTGCGATGCTGGGGAGATGCCCGGGGTAGCTGGGCTGGAGGACCCAGGACGGGGAGGTGGGCAGCTCGGTATCCTTGCCAGGGAGCACGCAGATGAAGTCTGCTGTGTGCATGCCAGACACTGTGTGTGTCGCTAAGATAGGCATGGAGTCCCTATTTTATTTACTCATTTAAAAAATATTTTTTATTGATTTTAGAGAGGGAAACATCCATGAGGACCATTGATTGGCTGCCTCCTGCACGCCTCCTATTGGCGATAAAGCCTGCAACAGGCTTTGCCCAGACTGGGAATCTGGCCCCCTCTGGCGCATGGGACAACGTTCAACCAACTGAGCCGCAATCCCTATTTTAAAGAGGAAAATTGGGACCCCAAAAATATGTAGGAATGACAGGAACCCCATTCGTGGTGACCCCAGCAGCTGAGGGAGCGCTTTAATTGGAGTCTGCAAGTGGGACTAGGCTCAGACACCGAGGCAGCTCTTACCCACGGTGGCGTGTGTGTGTGTGTGTATGAGTGTGTGTGTGTGTGTGTGTGTGTGTGCGTGCGCGCGCGCAGCTCTGGCAGGAGAGGCCACAAAAGACCCCACAGTTAGCTCCCGCTTGGATGAGCGTGTCCCGCAGGGCCAGCTGGAGTGGGCGGGGCATGGGAGCTGCTGAAACCACAAGCGCAGCCGGACAGCGGAACTTGAACCAGCTCCTCCGTGGGGGGTGCTGGAGAGGCTGCGGCCACTGGGGAGATGCCCGCAAACACCTCTGCAGAGTTTGTGTCTAGGCTCGGAGGTCGGGTGGCCGGACCCGATAACCCAGAGAAGGACCCGAATAGGTGCCGCTTTCTACTCCGGGCGCAGTACCCACGTGGGCCACCGGGGGCGCCGGCGCACGCGGCCGCTCTGGCTCGCCTGCGCTCTATGGTCAGCGGGGTCCCGGGCGTGGAGGACTGTCTGCGGCGGTGCGGCTGGGACGCTAGCCAGTCTAACCCTGGCCCCGCGCGGCCCAGTCCAGAGGCCATGCAGCCGGGTGACCCTTGACCAGACCAGACCACACACGGAGCCGTTTTGCCCGTCCCGCTGCAGGCCCGGCCTTGAACTCGGCCCCGGCCATGCGTGGGAAGCTGCTGCCGCTGGCCGGCCTCTACCTGGTGCAGGGCCTGCCCTACGGGTTGCAGACCGGCCTGCTGCCCGTGCTGCTGCGAGCGGGCGGCCTCTCCCTGACTCGCGTGGGACTGACCAAGATGCTGTATGCGCCCTGGCTGTTCAAGCTGGTGTGGGCTCCGCTGGTGGGCACGCGGGGCTCTCCCAGGGCCTGGCTGACGCTCAGCACCGCTGCTCTGGGCCTGGTGTGCGGGCTCCTGGCAGCTCTGCATCCGGCTGAAGGCGGCCAGGCAGAGCTTCCTGTTGCCGTGGCTGGGCTGCTGCTATTGCTGAACCTGGGTGCAGCTGTGCAGGACGTTGCCCTCGACACACTGGCCATGCAGCTCCTGGAACCGGCGGAGCTGGGGCCTGGCAACACCGTGCAGGTGGTTGCCTACAAGCTGGGGTCGGTGCTGGCGGGTGGTGGACTGCTGGCCCTTGTGCCTACCCTCTCCTGGCCCCAGCTGTTTCTGCTCCTGGCTGCCACCTACTGGCTGGCTGCTGCCCTGGCTTGGGCCATACCAGCCCTGCAACAATTGCCCCCTCCTCGGCCCTCAGAACTCCCCCCACACACCCTGCATCTTCTGCAGGACTTGCTAGCTGTGCCGGGGACCCTGTGGACTGCTGGCTTTGTCCTCACTTACAAGCTGGGTGAGTGAGGGCTTGAGTCAGCCAATCGCAGGGATGGGGACCTCCAGGTGAGTCCCCAAGAACCCTGGAACCACTTGCAGGGCCATCCTCTTCCTGGAGTATGCCTGGCAGTGGGGCTTTATGTTGTGCCACTGAACTCCAGCCACACTCCCTGGGTCCTGCTGACCCTGAGCTTGCCAATGCCTTTCCACCATTTCAGCATCCGAGGCAGGTAGTAGCAGGCGGGGGAGTGTGACCAAGGCCCCAGGTGGAAACGGGAGGCGGTTGCACACCTACTCATGTTCTTCCCACAGGTGAGCAGGGTGCCAGCAGCCTGTTCCCACTCCTCTTGCTGGACCAAGGCCTCTCTGCCCCGGAGCTGGGGCTGTGGAACAGTGTGGGCGCCGTGGCCTGTTCCATTGCTGGCTCGTCCCTGGGTGGGGCCCTGCTGTCCGGACGCTGGTGAGCCTTCCTCAGCATGTCCCACTCACCTACTCACCCCCAGTCTCCCCAAACTCCTGACCTGCCCAGTCTCTTCACCCCAGGAAGCTGCTGCCCCTGCTGAGGTCAGTACTTCAGTTCCGTCTTGGGGGCCTTGCCTGCCAGACCACTCTGCTGTTCTGCCTGGACACCCCGTGGGCCAGGCTGGACCCTGGCACAGTCCTAAGAGGTGAGGGCCTGGGCATTGGGCATGGGGGGGGGAACACTGCATCCTGGGCTCTGCTGACCTTGGTCTTTCCAGGGGCCGTCTTGCTGAGCCTGTGCCTGCAGCACTTCTTGGGGGGCCTGGTCACAACTGCCACCTTCACTCTGATGATGTGCTGCAGCCAGCTGGCACACAGTGCCTTACAGGTAAGGGGTCATGGCTGGGACACCGAGGGGATGCAGGGCTGAGGGCCAAGCCAGTCCTAATCTGTCTCCCTCAAATCCCTCCCTCCCTCCCCACCAGGCCACACACTACAGCCTCCTGGCCACGCTGGAGCTGCTGGGGAAGCTGCTGATGGGCACACTGGCTGGAGCCCTGGCTGACAGCCTGGGCCTACACCTCTGTTTCTCCCTCTTCCTTGCTCTCTCAGCCATACCTATTCTGTACCTGAGCCTGGCACCCAGAGCCCTGGCCTGAGCTGGGTGTTAAGACTAGTCAGTAAAGCCAAGTGTGACCGGCCTGCTTGTGTCTGGGATGTGTGGTGCCCAAGACTGCCCGACTGTGTGCCCCACCGAAAAGGAGGCTGCAGCAACTCCAGCATCTTTTGTATTTTGGGCCTCCTTGTGCCCACATTCCAGGCAGCAGGCTTTGCCCAAGATGGTCAGTCACCGTCCCAGACAGTGACAGCCCCTCGTCTTGGGTCCTGCACCTGCCACTCCATGTGCCTGTTCACACCGTGTCTGACATGGCCTGCCTGTGGCCAGGGGTCAGCGGCCCAAGAGGATCTCCTCAGTGGCCAGCTTGATCAGGGCGTGGAAGCTCAGGTGCAGGTACTTCCTCCAGAAGCGTCGGTCCCGTCCGTACACCTGGGCTGGAAAGCAGGGGCTTCCTGTGGTGGAATGGGGTACATGGTCCTGAGGACTGTCAACTGGGCCAGTCCCCAGCCCACCAGGCGGGGCTAAGCTGCCCAGGCCCTCACCAATGCCATGGAAGATGCGGGCCACAGCCCTGCCTGAGAACTGCTGCTCTGGCCACGAGGACAGGAAGTGGCGGACGTCCCTGCGGACCTGGTCCTCCCAGTCCTGGAGCTGAGGTGGGGGCGTCAGCACAACCTGAGCTTCCAGACCATAAGCTCCACGCAGGGGCAGGGCGGGAGGCGTGCACACGACGTTGGGCTGCCCGGCCTTGCCCCGGGCCTGGGAGTGACCAGCACTCACCTCGGCCTGTCCAGGCTCTGGGCCCTGTGCTTCCTTCTCAGCTACTGGGCCCCCTTCCTCCAGGTAGTGGGTGAGCAGGGCCTTGAGCCTGGAGCTGCGGTCATCGTCCGGCTGCTCCAAGCAGGGCCCACAGCTGGGGAAGGCTACGCTGGGGTGGGATGAGCTCGTCAGAGCCACCCCTGGGGCAGGGGTTGGGAGCCTCCCTCTGCCCACCTGCCCCTGCACCTGTGAAAGGCCTGGAACATAAGGCGCAGGTTGGCCAGGGCCTCTCGCTCTCTGGCCTGCACTCGGTCATGAAGGAAGCCACAGATCTGGTCCTTTTCCTGGGCGGTCAGGTCCCCAGGGCTGTGCAGGTAGAAGGCCAGCTCGCTGAACTCCACCAGCACCCCTGTGCCCCGAGGCACACCTGCCAAAGAGCGTGTCAGGTGGGCAGGTTGGCAGGCAGGTGGCATGCAGGGCCAGGGGTGGGGGCGCACCTTTCCTGGGCTCCGGGTCCCACTGCAGTTGGCGGAGGGCCTTCCGCACGGGGGCCAGCTCCCAGCCCATGGAGTCGACCAGCTCCAGCATGTCAAACTCCACACTGCTTTCCCCACCTGTGTTCTCAGGCAGCTGCTGGGCCAACCATGCAGCCAGGGGGACACACCTAAGCCAGGGGAAGGGGAGAGTGAGTGGTAGCCCAAGTCCTCGATCCCTGTCACCATTCTGGGATAGGATGTGTGTTCACCTGCGGGCCAGGGCCTGGAGCTGGGTGGGGCCCCCAGGGCATCGCACGCAGCAGCGAGTGTAGGTGGGTGCCAGCAGCTCCAGCCAGCGCCGTGAGTGCAGCTCCAAGTAGCACAGCAGAGTCTCAATGACTGGGGGAAGAGCAGGGCTCAGAAGACATGGCCTGTGAGATGCCCCTCCACACCTGCCCCAGTTCCTCACCCTCCTCAGGCAGGTCCAGAGCCTGCACTGTCGGCTGCACTGGGAGTGCCCGCTTGTGGCCCGGGCACCGGGCTGTTTGCTCACAGCTGGGCTGCTTGGAGGAGCAGCCCTCCTGTCTCTCGCCTCCCTCCTGCTCGGATAGCCGTTGGGTGCAGGCGCAGGGCGGGAACGCCCGCTGCACCAGCTTCTTCACAGTGAGGAAGTCGATGGCGTTGGCATGCACGTGTCTGCGCAGCTCCCGAAGGTCCTCGCCCTGCAGCAGGAAGGCTGTGAGCGTGTGGCCATGGCTCTGGGGGGCTGGGGAAGTACGAGCTGGTGGGCACCAACCTGGGGCTGCAGGAAGAGGTGGCAGTGTGCGGGCTGCCCATCACGCCCAGCCCGGCCCACGGCCTGAATGTAGCTCTCAAAACTCGGGGGCAGCCCCAGGTGCAGAACAGCCCGCACATCTGGCCGGTCCAAGCCCATCCCAAAGGCCACTGTGGCCACCACCACCCGCAGCCGGCCCTCCATGAAGGCCCGCTGCACCCGCCGCCGCTCCCGGCTGCACATGCCAGCATGGTAGGCTTCAGCCACAGCCTCTGGGGCCCGGCCTGCAGGAAAGACAGATGGTTGGTGGGCTGTATGCATGGGAATGTCTGAGGCCCAGCCCGGCCCAGCCTCACCTCCAGGCCCCGGAGCCCTGGTCCCAGGCAAACAGGTGCGCAGCAGAGCGGATACACGCTCGGTGTCCTCGCGCCTGTTGCAGTAGATGATGATGGAGTCCAGGGTGCGGAAGCGGTCACCCTGCAGCAGCGTCACCAGGGCCTGGTGAGGGACAGTGGTCAGTGTGGGCAGCCGGGAGGCGAGGCCTCTCCCTGTGTGTGCTCACCTACCTGGTCGGGGTTCCTGTCTATGGACACAGACAGGTGCAGGTTGGCAGGGACAGTGACCGGTCCCCTGAGGACAGCCTCCTTAGCTATGCCCAGATGCTCGGCCACATCGAGGGTGGTGCTGCGTGTGGCCGTGGCTGTGAGGCCCAGGAAGCAGCGCACGCCCAGGCACTCCCGCAGCACCTGTGCGGAGTGGGGTGGTGAGGATGCCCACTGCCCCCCCACCTGACCTACACACCTGCATTCAGGACAAGGCTCACCTTGCAGACACGGAGATAGCAGGGTCTGAAGTTGTGGGACCACTGAGAGAGGCAGTGGGCTTCGTCTACACAGACAAAGGCCACTGGGGGCAGCTGAGTGAGGCAGGCAGGGCTCCCGGTCCCAGCTCCAACTAACGCCTCGGGCGACAGCATCAGCACGTGGACCTGGCCTGCCCGAGCCTGTGAACAACAAGGTCAGGACCACTGCCCTGGGCCCTGCCTGTGGCCCCCGAGGGTCTTGCTCTGGGAGGCCCCTCACCTTCTGCAGGGCTGAGTCCCGCTGCTTCCTTGTCATGCCCGAGTGTATGCAAGCCGCCTTCAGGCCTTGGGGCAGGCCAGACACCTGCAGACACAGCAGCCAGTCTGTTGGAAGGCCATATAGAGTCCCCCATCCCCCTGCCCATGCCTCTCCTTCAAGTTGTTCAACTCAATAGCAACTGCTGTATCCATCCCAAGTCTTATGAGGAGGAAACACCCCGACCCTGGAACTAAGAGTTGAGAGCTGCCGCCGGGCCTGGGCTCAGGCACTGGGAACAGACAGGCCTCATGGGGATGTCTCCTTTTAGGGGAGGATCTGGCCAGCTCTGTCCCTGCTGCCTTTAGGCCACTTCCTGGCTGAGGGCTGTGGACAGAGGGGGGGACTGAGAACTGTCGGGGCCCCCACGGCTCCAGGATGCTGGTGGGGTAAGCAGCAGCAGCCCAAAGGGACAGCAGAGCCTGGGGTGCCGGTGCTCGCCCTCCACCCACACCGGAGGGCCCGGTGCACACACCTGGTCGTCCATGAGGGACAGGAGAGGAGAGATGACCAGTGTGAGACAGGGGCCTCGCCGGGCGTAGAGCAGCGCAGGAAGCTGGTAGCACAGGGACTTGCCAGCACCGGTGGGCAGCACCAGCAGAGTGGACATGCCTGACAGGAGCCACATCAGCAGAGCTGCTCTGCAGCCCGGCCTCGGCCCCGTCACTCCCCACGGCCGCCATGCTCACCAGACAGGATCCGCATGACCGCGTGCTCCTGCCCAGGGCGGAAGGCTCGGTGCCCCAGCTGCTCCAGGGCCTGCAGCACCTCAACCGGCGTCTCTGTGAACACAGGTGTTGGGTCAGCATGGCCGAGGTGCCCCCACCTTTGGGTAAAGGTCATAGGCTGGTTGGCTTCTGCTCACCTGCCACCTGCCCCAAGGGACCTGGCAGGTAGAGTGGCGGAACAGCTGGGGATGGGCAGGGTGCCCCAGGCATAAGTGCCTCCGTGGACACTAGCAACTCAGACCCAGCAGGACCCGTATCTTCCTCGCCTGCGGGGGGTGGACAGGAGAGGGTTTTGTGGGAACTCCAGACTGGTCTGGCATCCTTCTAGCAGGAAGGCGACTTCCACTCACCAAGGAGCTGGCCGCAGGCAGTGTGTGTCCTCTGAGTCACTGCCTCCAACGTGGGCAACACCTGCATGTCCTCTTCATCCTCACCATCCTCTTTCTCCGGGACCCGGGTAGGTTTTGGGCCTGGGGCACGGAGTAAAGAGGGCTTTTTGCTTCAGTCAGACTCCAAAGAGCACAATGCCCTCTCCAAGCAGTGTTGGCTCAACACACGACACAGAAAGCTCACCTGGTTTGGGGCACTTGGATGCCCAGTGACCGAGCTGCCCACACCGGAAGCAAGAATCCTTGACTGGGGCCCGGGGCTGCCCACCCCCGAAACATTCCGCCTTCTTCCTCCATTTCTGTTTCCACGCCTGGGGGAGGGCGCACACGATGGAGGGTCAGAGGGTCACAGGGGGAGAGGCGGGAGGGGAGGGAAATGCCTACCACCACCTCACCTGCCTTCGGAGGAGTCTGCCCCGCAGGGCCGGGCCCCGGACGTAGCGCTTCTGCTTCAGGTTGAGCCGAACGTAATTGCCCCTGTCCTGCACAGCTGGCCTAGCAGGGACGCACAGGCGTGTCTTCCCCATGGCGTCCCCACCTTGGCCTGACTCCAGGGGACCTGCTGGGATGCTGAACGGTGTTACCTGGGGGCTGAGGGGCCGGGGAAGGGCTGTGCCGGCATGGGCTCCCCTGGACAGTTTTCTCCTGTGTGCAGTACAGCCCCAGCTCCCTCCAGCGGGGAGCCTTCTTGGCTGCTGTGCTGCTGGGCCTGTGTAGCGGTCCCGTTTGGCTCCCCACTCTGTCTCCGCTTCTTGCCTTGGCTGCTGCCCAGGAGGGGGCTCCTTGCACTGACCCCAGGTACCTTTGGAGCTGGAGCCTCTGAGCCCAGAAAAGGTGCCTCAGGGCCCCCGCTGGGGCCAGGATCGGGGGGAACACCTGATGTCGGGGGCTGTGGCTCCTCTGTACCCAGGGCATGATGGCAGGCCTCAGGAGTCCCCAGAAAACCTTGGGCCTCATTGTGACACCTCTGTATCCAGCCAGGATCCAGGGAGCTCAGCCGCAGGCTCAGGGACTCCTGCAGCTGCTGGAGCCGGCCTGGCCTTAGCTGGGACCGGGGGAGCTGGGGCAGCACCTCACTGGCTTCTTCAGGAGACAAGGGGGAAGCCCCTGTAGTTGGCAGCTCCGGGGAAGGCACCTCGGGTGGGGGTCTTTGCAGAGGCCGGGGTATTCGGCGCAGAGCTGGCCCGGCCTGGAAAGGGGAGGACAAACAAGCAGGCATTGGGCTGCCAAAGATCCTGCAACCTGCCCGAGTCCCCACCCAGCCCCTCAGTGTGACTGGGATGGGAAGGAAGCTGGGAGCAGGACTTTCAGAAGCGGAGGCCTGGTTAATGCGGGAGGTGTGCGCCCTGTTGGTGTGAGCAGACAGGGGCACCTGTGGAGGGCGGGGTGTCTGCTCATCCCGCCCCTGGGTGGAGGGCAGTGCTGGACCAAGATGGACGGCTCCGTGGCCCTACACTCACCTGCAGAGCATCCTTCAGGTTTGCCTTGAGCCTCTCCCCATAGTCGGGCACAGACCCGCGAGGGCTCCGCCCAGCAGCAGGAGGGAGACTCCGGGTTACAGCCCGATTCAGGTGGGATCCCCAGCAGCTGGGCTCGGGCACCTGCAGGAGAAGACAGAGGGGTTGGCAAGGCTGATGTGGGGGAAAGAGGTGTCTCCAGGCCCAGTCCCTCTGACCTCTGGAGGGGGCGGACCCTCCACCTCGTCCAGCCCTCCCCCCAAATTCTGTGCCCCGCGGAGCTCCGGAAGGTCCTCGCCGCACAGAAAGCTACGCCGGGAAGCTCGGGAACGGGGGCCCGGGTACCTCCTCGGGAGCCTCAGGAAGCGCCTGCGCGAGGACGCGGGGTCCAGCGCCGCTTGCCGGACGCAAGGTCTCCTTCAAGGCGCGGTACTCCCGGTAGAGCGCTGGGGGCGGGTCCGGAGTTAGAGGTCAGGGCTCAGCGGTTCCCGTTTGGCTCCCTCACCCCCGTGCCTCCACCCGGTGACCCCGCCGCCCGGCGCTCACCGCGGGTTTCCTCGGGCGCCGCTTCCACGTCTTCCTGCGAAGGGAGCGCGTCAGCTGGAGCCGCCCCGGGCAGCCTCCCGCCCCGGGCAGCCTCCCGCCCCGGGCAGCCTCCCGCCCCGGGCAGTCCGTACCTGCACCGGCCGCCGCCCGCGCTGCCGCCGGAACGCGCGTTCCCACGCCAGCAGCTGCGCCCGCACGTCCCGCAGCCGCTCCATGCGCGCCGGCCAGCGCCCCGCGCCCCGCTTCTCCCGCCTTGAGGACGCCGCCGGCCGACAGCCAATGGGGACTAGACTCGGTCGGGGGCGGGGCGTTTTAGCCAACGCGAAGCTGGGGCAGCCAATCCCCGGGTTCCTGGAGCGACGGCCAATGGGGGGAGGCTACGTCATCGGGCCGCGCAGGGCGGGGCGCGGGGTGGAGCTGACGGCGGCGGAGGCTGCTGCGGGCCGGTGAGCACCACTTGGGTAGTGTGTCTGCGGTCTGGAGGGGACGGCTCCGGCCTTGGGGCGCCGCGCCGGGAGGAGGAGGGGTCTGGGCGAGCGCCGCCCCGAAGCCGGGAGGCGGCGCGGAGGCGCTTTCGGGAAACGCCGGGCACTGCGGACCGGCGGAGGGGCGGCAGCCGCCGCACAGAGCTCCGCTCCCGGCGACCGCACGGGCTGCCTTCGTTTCCTCTCGTGACAGGTGCTCGCTGGTCTGCCCTTTCTCGGCGAGGTATGCATTGTCTTCAAGAGATGTGTTCGCGGGCAGAGCGCGATCGAGGCTTGGCGTCAGGGCTTCTCCGGAACCGCTGTCCTGAGGTCTTGGGTTCGGTGAGGTCTGGGGCCAGAGGCCCCTTCCCGGCCCGTCGCCCAGGATGCAGTCCCAGCCGAAGAGGCCTTGGTTCTCACGTCCTGCTTCCTGTGACCGGGAGTCAGCTTGGGAGACGAGGTGCTCTGACTCAGCAGTAGAGCTGGCCCGGGTTCTCTGTGCCTCTCTAGCTGGAATGCCCCTTTGGGAGCGGCCTTTTGCTATTGGAGCAGTTTCCTAGCCTGGAGCCTCCTGAATCGATGGGTTTGAACCTTGGCTTCTTGACTGGTTCTTCAGGAGATGTTCAGACCGCTGATAAGGCCCTCGGTGGGTGAGGGTTGCTTTCCAGGGGTTTCCACGTCTGCATATACAAGTTAGGACTAAGGGTCATGTCGAGGGTTTGGGTTACTCAGGCCATCTGGGTTCTGTTTCCTGGGCCCCAGTCCTTTATACTTGCCCCGGTGTTTATTGAGCACGGTTGCTTCCAGCTCCTCTCTGCTGCTGTCCTCTCCTGGGTCAGCCTCCATTAGCCTTGGAGAACACGGGAGGGAACTGCGATGCAGCTTCCAGCCCCTCCTCCCCAGGGGGCGGGGCCAGGACTGTAGTTTATTTTTGAAGGAGGCTCTCTAATAAGCTGCTTTGTAATTTCAGAGACCTGAAGTGGGGGTGGGGATGGGGAGGCTGCTGGCAGCAGCTATCAAAAGCAGGTGGGCAGGTCCTCTCTGGAGCCATGCTATTGCCTGTTGCTTGGTGGCTTTGTTTTCCTGAACAAGCCCCCAGGCTTCTGGAGTGTGGGAACTAGGGAGTGGGGGGCGGCCTTGTCCCCCTCTGCACTCTGCCTCGCCCATTGCTAGGCACCTAGCACTTACTCTTCAGAGCTGGGGTCCCACAGACCACAGACTGGCAGGCACCATGCTGGGCTTTCCTGCTACTAGTGTGTGAAGGAGTCTGTGGCTGGGGGTAGCCTGGGGTCTGTCCTCCCCACTGAAGGTCCCTTCCCTGTAGGTGGCCTCCTGCCTGGCCCGGCGCCATGCACACGGTTGTGTTCTGAGCACGCAGCAGGCGCTCCAGTGTCAGCCTGCGGCCTGCCAGGCTCTGCCCCTGCTCCCAGGCGAGCTCTTCCCCCTGCTGTTCAAGGTGGCCATCATGGACAAGAAGACCGTGGTGCTGCGCGAGCTGGTGCGCACGTGGCCCTTCCCCCTGCTCAGCTTCCAGCAGCTGCTGCAGGAGTGCGCACACTGCAGCCAGGCCCTGCTGCGGGAGCGGCCCAGCACAGAGAGCGTGCAGGCGGTGATCCGGGGGCTCAGCCCGGCTCCACACCCCGGAGGTCGAGGCTGGCACACGGTCCTTTTGCAGGTATGGATGGGCTCACCCGAGGGTGTGGGGCGTGCAGAGAGGGTCCCCAGAGAGGTTTGAGGCTGCTGCTAAGAGCTCGTGCAGATACAGGCGTGTTGCTTCTGTCCCAAGGTGGCTGGGATTGGGTGCGGGTCTCCCTCTTACCACCTGTCTCCGCCCGCCTGTGCTCCCAGGAAGCACACACTGTGGGTGCTGGACATGATGGACCTCCTGGACGACGGTGTAGAGCGGGACCCCGGCACCATGAGCATGTGGGACTGCACGGCAGCCGTGGCCCGCACGTCCGTGGCACAGCAGCAGGGTGGGACTGTGGAGCCCGGGCTGACCCCTGCTCCCCTGGAGGTGCGCGTGGACCTTCGGGTGAACCGGGCCTCCTATGCGTTCGTGCGGGAGGCCCTCTGAAGCAGCGCAGGCAGCCCGCTGCGGCTCTGCTGCCGGGACCTGCGGGCTGAGGACCTGCCCATGTGGAACACGGTGGCTCTGCTGCAGCTCCTGGATGCAGGCTGCCTGCACTGTGTGGACCTGCGCTTCAACAACCTGAGCCTGCGTGGCCTGTCTGTTATCCCACACGTGGCCCACTTCCAGTGTTTGGCCAGCCTTCGGCTGCACTATGTACACGGGGACTCAAGGCAGCCCTCCGTGGATGGTGAGGACAACTTCCGATACTTCCTGGCCCAGATGGGCCGCTTCACCTGTCTGCGGGAGCTCAGCATGGGCTCCTCTCTCCTCTCAGGCGACCAGCTACTCAGGTCAGTGGACCCTACTGTTCTGCCTCTCCGCTCCCAGAACCCTCCCCTGCCCTGCCTGTTCGTGACCCTTGCTTTACCTGCAGCACTCTGTAGAGCCCTCTGGAGAGTCTGGAGCTGGCCTTCTGTGCTCTGCTGCCTGAGGATCTGCACTTCCTGGCACGCAGCCCCCACACTGTCCACCTCAAGAAGCTGTACCTGAGTGGCAACGACCTGTCTGCCAGCCAGCTGTAGCCTTTTCAGGGGCTGCTGCAGATGGCAGCGGCCACACTGCTGCATCTCGAGCTGACTGAATGCCAGCTTGCTGATACCCAGCTGCTGGCTACACTCCCTGTGTTGACCTGCTGTGCCAGCCTCCGCTACCTCAGCCTCTACGGTAACCGCTGTCCATGGCAGGTCTTCAGGAGCTCCTGCGGGACTCGGTGGCACAGGCCGAGCTGTGCACCGTGGTGCATCCCTTCCCTGTGGACTGCTACAAGGGCCTACCCTGGCTGCCACCTGCCTCTGTCCTACTGGAGGCCGCCATCAATGAGGAGAAATTTGCTTGTGTGGAGGCTGAGTTGCACCAGCTGCTGCTAGCTTCGGGCCGTGCCCACGTGGTCTGGACCACGGACATCTATGGTCGCCTGGCTGCAGACTACTTCAGTTTGTGATCTCAGGGATACTGGGTGACAAACAGGCTGTGCCAGAGTCCAGGGCTGCTGGAGGCCCCTCCCCCTCCTGGGTAGGCACAGCCTAGGCTGAGACCCTGCTAGAGGCCTGGCACAAAGGCACTGGTGTCTGATTTTTGTGCCCCATGGGTGTACCCTGCGAAGTTCTGCCCTGCACTTGCTCCCCTGACTGTTCACCCGTCTCTGGGCCTGAGGTCTGGATTCCAGCCCTGTCCAGCCCTGCTTGGTTAGTTTGCACTTGGCTGCTTTCTGGGTCCTGGTCTTCAGAATGCTCTGAGCTGAAAGAGGGGGTTCCCTCAGGCCCTCCTCCAGGGCAGACTGCCCTCTGTTGAAGTTGGGATTGGCATGCCTGCAGGAGGTTGGTCCTCTGCACTCGGGCCTGTCATGATTTCCCCTGCCCTGGCACTCAGGAGACTGTCGGCTGGGTTTTGGGACCAGACCGTGTTATTACGGTACAAATGTGCAGTGTGTTTGGAACTTAAATTTGTGGCTGTTTTTTCTGTCCTAATTGGTCAACGAGTTGTCCCTGGCTCTGCTGCCACACCCAGTATGGCCCCTGTTACAGCTGTCTTCCGGTCCGCTCTCCCTCCCCTGGGCATTCACTGCACGAGGAGACCTCGGGGAGTGCCTGCATCCTCCCCCACTACCGGCCTCCCGCCCACTCGGTGCCCCCAGACCCCACACACAGCTCGGCTCACGTCGTCGCGCAGCTTCCATCCTTTACTGATCCCGCTGGAGCATGCGCGAACGGGGCCCGCCGATTCGCAGGGCCTACGTCATCGGCGCGCGCCGCCCGCCCTCAGCAGTGGAGCTCGTAGGCGGCGGGCGGCTGCGGTGGGAACCCCTGCGCGGGCCCGGGCGCTACCCCCTGGCTCGCCCGGACCGGGTCCTCGGCGAAGAGCGGCTTGGAGCGGTCGATGACGAACATTTCGTGGCCCCGCTCGCCGCGGAGCTCCTCCAGCTGCGCGGAGGTGCAGGGCCCGTCCGAGTAGTCGTTGGCGAACAGCGCGCCCTCCCCCGGCGGCCCCGGCGCCTTTTTCCGCCTCCGCCGGCGCCGACGGCAGATGAGGGCGGCCAGCAGCAGTGCTGTCAGCGCCAGGAGCGCGATGGCCGCCGCGATCGCCGTCTGCGTGGCCAGGCCCAGGGCACGGAAGGCCATGCTGCTTGCCTCGGGCAGGGGCGCGGGGCCCGCGGCCGCCGGCGGGGGCTGCGGCTGCAGCCGCAGCTGCTGCTGGGACACGTTGACCCGGAGCCGGAAGGGCACCCGAGCGGCGCCGCCGGCGTTAGAGGCTTCGCACTCGTACTTGCCGGCGTGGGCCGGGGTGATGTTGGTGAGGAAGAGCATGCCGCTGCCCGTGTCGGAGGCTCCGTGCCCGCCTGGGCCTGGCACCCCGCCTCCTGGCGGGGCCTGGGCCCGCGGTTGTCCCCCGCGAGGCTGGGCCACCTTCCTCCAGGTTACCAGGGGCTGCGGGTAGCCGGAAGCCTGGCAGGCAACCCGCAGGTTCTCACCCAGGTTGGCTGTCACCTCCAGCGGCTCCACGTGCACGGAAGGTGGGATGCAGATGAGGCTACTGCCAGAGACATCCAAGAGACTCTGGAGGGCCAGGCGGGGAGGCTCTGCGCACACGATCTTCCTGTCCCTGGAGTTGAGCAACCTCTGCCCCGCCTCCTTGAGCCAAGCTCCCAGCCAGTGCAGCGCGCAGTCACAGCGCCACGGGTTTTCTGTGGACAGAGCAGGTGAGCAGGCAGCCCAGGGGCAGCTGCGACCACAGCCTGTGCAGTTTGGGTTCCACTGGCCAGACCAGGAGCCCCTTCACTATCTCCCAGAGTTAGGGACCCCTGCCACCCCTGCACTGACCCCAAGCTCCTTAGAGTGTGGCCCCTTCAGTTCAGGATATCTAAGAAGTCTCTTGTGCCTCTGAAGTCTCTGCAACAAGTCCCACTATTTGAGGGGAATCCTGGTGTCCACATGACATCTCACCACCATGAAAACTGCAAACACCATCAGCCTTGTCTCTCAGGTGTTGTCTGCTAGAAATGCCCCCAATCCTGGTCTCATCTTTCTAGTTTCTACCTACCTGCCCTCTGCTGGCCCATCAACTGTGTCTACTTTGTTTAGAGACTTTTCTGTCTTCCTTACAAAAGTTATCTGAGCTGTGCCCCTATCAACACCCCCATTCCTGGCAGCATTCACCGTGGTTGTTGGTAGTGTGGCCCTCCAGAGCTGCCCTGGGGGTGCACAGCTCTTGGCCACTCCATTGGGTTGCCCTCCTTAGCTGGGCCTGCTCCCTACTGCCAGCACTGTGGCTTGCAATCTTTGCATGAGACCCACTGCTCCAGAAGAGGTACCTGTGAGGCGTAGGACCTGCAGGCTGGCCAGGGGCTTCAAGGTCTCATGGCTGATGGTGCCCAGCTGGTTCCTACTGAGGTCCAGCAGTGCCAGTGAGGAGAGCCCGGCCAGGGCTTGGTCCTCCAGCAGCTTAATGCTGTTTTCCTGCAGGTGCAGCTCCTGCAGTCGCTGAAGCAAGGACAGCAGATGATCAGGGAAAGTGGTCCTAGCAGACATGTTTCCTTACAAGGCTGGTTGACTTTTTTTTTTTTTTTTTGGTGAGGGATTAGAATTTATTTGATCATCCACACACCAGGTTGTGCGGATGGTTGACTTTTGTCCTTTTCACAACTCCAGCCCCTCAGAGCAACTGACAGTACAGGAGGATCCCTGCCCTTCCCCCACCCTCCCACCTCTCACCCTCACCCCTCACCCCTCACCCCTCACCCCTCACCGGCAAATGCAGGAAGGTGAAATCCAGCAGCTGCATCAACTGGTTACCAGCCAGGTAGAGTATGCGCAGCTGAGCCAGGCCTGTAAAAGCCCCCAGGTGCAGGCCTCGCAGCTGGTTGCCTGTGAGTGCAAGCTCCAGCAGGCGCGACTGTGCACGAAAGGTGCCCGGCTCCAGGGTGTGAAGGCTGTTGTTGTGCAGATAGAGGCTGTGAAGGGCGGCAAGGGGCGCCAGGATGCCTAGCTCCAGGCACGCGATGCTGTTATCCTGCAGGAACAGCGTCTGCAGGACAGAGGGTGGGGGGCAGGCGGTGTTTACCCCACTGAGAGTATTCCTCCGACTAAGGTCCCCATCTACCCACCAGGATGCTGACACACCCTTCCCTCCTCGCCCGCAGTCCCACACAGTTCCCACCTGTGTCCCAGGCGGGATTCCTGGCGGGACCACGTGCAGCCCCAGGGCCCCACACTCCACCGTGGTGCTGTAGCAGCGACAGGCAGCCGGGCAGCTGGTGGCTCCGGGCAGGAGACTGGGCAGACAGAGCAGCGACAGCAGCAGCAGTGCCGGGGCCCCGGAGGCCATCTCCCAAGGCCAACCACAAAGTGGTAGCCTCTTCACCAACTTCGCTACAATGGGGCCCCAGATGGGAAGCACTTCCTGAAACAGTTTCGCAAAGTCTTGCCCTAACACTTGAGAGTCAGTGAAAAGCATGGATGGAAGCTCACACCGTGTCTAATGTTTGAAAAGTTATAAATCAATTTAAGAAACCGATAAAAAGTTTTCTTAATGAAAACAGTCAAGGATTTGGGATGTTAGGTTCCAATTTTGAATTTCTGATGTCCTCTGCACACAGGCCACATGGGGAGAGCCCACCCTGTCCCCTTCTTTCCCCATTCCTGGCATGGAGGCTCCCGCCCAGCCACGAGCATGTCTGTCCAGGTAGCACTGCCCTCTACACCCTCCCAATTAGCCTCTCTGGACCCGCATTGCAAGAGGCTGTTATAAGGTATGGTGATAATGGGCAGGGAGCATGTGGGTGGTGAAGTCCAGAGTCATTCCCCAAGCCTGGGCCAGAGGAGGAGCAAAGACCACTCTTTGTACATGTGGACTCTGCTCTCGGGACTGGCATGAGATCTTGTAAGGCCTAGAGCCCAGAGCAGAGGTCCCTTTTGTACCCCCCAAATAAGATCACTTGATGGGAGGCAGGGCAGAACTGGTTTTAGAGGAGTCAAGAGCCACAGAAAAATCCAGGCCCTCCTTTGTCCTGCCCAGGAGTAGGGTTGGTGGAACAACTTACTGGAATGAGGGCTTGTTCTGTGGGAACTTGTTACAAAGTAGAATTATGAGAATTATGAAGCAAATGATAAGAACATTTCCTAAGGCCTGTGTTCTTCATGCTGGCTCCCAAAAAGGTGCCTCTTTTGAGGGACAGTGGAGCCCTGGATTGGTTGGGTCACCAACTGGGTTTCTAGTGTTTCAAGTGACTTTCTGAGGGAATGTGGTGTGTTGTTGATTTATGCACATGCAACTGTGACCCTAAAGATATGGGAAGGCCTGGGTCTAGTTCCAGGCACAAGGAGTCCAATTTTAAAGGTGGGGATCTGGGCTGAGAAACCAACCAGGGTGGCAGGGCTGAGGGTTGGCTGTCACTCAGCCTCAAGTGCCCCCCCCCCAAGTGGTACCTGCTCTGAGCACCCCCCTGTTCACCAGGTTTTCCGCTATCAAGAGGGAGTCTCGTAGAAAAGAATTAGGTGGCCTTGCTGGTGGCTTAAATCTGCCCTAAAGTGATTACTTAAAAGTCACTAGAGATGAAGTAGGCACAGCAAAAGCTTTAATGGAGTAGCTTTGGCCCAGGCAGAGGCAGCTCCCAGGTGTCAGGATGCTTGCGGGCCCCAAGAGGCCAGGGGATTTCTCTTGGCCCCTGGCACTCATCTCCTTGAGCAAAAGGGCTTGCCCACACCCATCTTCCAGGGGCACGGCCTCTCCAGCGGAGAAGGTTCTCGGCTTCCTCCTTGGGACTCAGAGCAGTGCTGATCATACGGGCATCCCTAGATGCGGAGCAGTATCACAGGGCCGGCTGGGCAGAGATGAGGGCCCAGGCGGGAGGAGCCTGGGAAGCCCGCCCACAAGTCCTTTTACTTAGCGGACAAACCCTAATCCGGCTGGGTAAGGGACCAGGCATCACACAGGCTTCCAGACGGCTGACCCAGCCTCGAGGGCGCCCGTCTGTGCTGGGGGGTGGGGTGGGAGGAAGCCCTGCAACCCCATCGGATGCAGAATCAAAACCGACCCAGGCACCTCAGTATCCCAAGGCGTGGCCTGCCTCCCCAGAGCGCGGGTATGTTCCGAGCGATCCAGGCAGGGCGTGGTCCCGCCAATCGCACATCCTTGGTGCGCGCAGCAGACCGCCCCATCCCTCCTCATGCCCGCTGACCTTGGTCCGGGCGCCCCCTCACCTGACGCTCCCGCGGCGTGGCTCCCCAACCGAGCCCACGGCGCAGCCCGGGAGGGGGAGGAGCGGGCGCCGGTCATGCGCACACACCGGAGCCCCTGCACCTCCCGCTCGGTCGTATGGGCCGGCCGTCGCGAGCGCGGGCGGAAGCAGAGGACGGACACCCTAGATGGGGAGGGAGCGGAAGGGCCCGGGCCCCTCCCGGCACTCGGTCGGAACCAGCCGCCGTAGCACCTCGGACAGCGCCGCGAGGGGCGGGGCCTAGACGCTCCCCGCCGCGCACGCGCACGCGGACCGCGCGCTCTCCAGGCGGCGCGTGCGCAGCGGCGTGGGCGAGAGGCGCGCTCAGGGCCCGCCGCCGCCCGCCCGGCACTCAGGGCGCCGGGTCGCTGAGCAGCAGCGGGGCCAGGTCCATGGTGAGGGGGAGGCGCTGGCCCTGCCAGTGCACGTGGGAGGGCACCGCGGCCGCCCCGGGCGGGTACTCGAAGCAGGCGCTGAGCTCAAAGGCCAGGGCCGAGCGCACCAGGCCGACGCCCCCCGCGCGCTCGGGGGCCGGGTGGTACAGGCGCCCGTTGGCGGCCAGCGGCAGCAGCCGCGCGGGCTCGAAGGGCACCGCTAGCGCCTCGCCGCCGCCGCAGTAGGAGAGGCGCGGGGCGCCAGGGCCCGCGGCCAGCAGGTGCGTGAAGACCACCGGCCGGTCCTCGCAGCGCAGGAAGTTGCGCTCCCTGCCGCAGGGAGAGAGGAAGGGGAAGGCGGCCTCGTAGCGCCCGCTGCGGTTGGGTCTCAGCCGGGAGAAGAAGGTGACCAGGAACTGCAGGTCTGGGGAGGCGAAGGGTACGGGCTGTTCACCATGTCAGGCCTCCTTGCCCCATGGCCAGGCCGGGGGCCGGCGCCTCCCTAGACCGCGGAGCTCGGGAGCTCAGGACGCCCAGCCCCGGCCGCGGGCGGGGATGGGGAGCGGACCCTCCGAAGCTTTCCCCGGAGGGAGAGGAAGGCGGGAGAGGTGGGCGCAGCAGTACCTTTGAAACAGGTGATGAAGTTCTTCATCTTGGAGTCATCCAGGAAGAGCTGCAGACAGAGGGACAGGCGGTGCCCATGAGCCCGGCCGGCCCGCCTTAGGCGGGAGGTCCCTGTGGCCCTGGCCGGGCCTATGTCCGCGTCCTTGGCTCCTCTGTGCACACCGTGTGCGGAGGAGCGCACAGAGGGAGCCGGGCCCTTCCCATTCACCGGTCCCGCCCGGGCCCGGCTTCAGGTTCACTGAATTGGCCTTTCCGCGTCTTTAACCTCCAGCTTCTAATCGGGTGCCGCATTCTCCGCGGGGCTACCTGGCTGGCTTCCTCCTGGGTGTGGCCATTGCTCCCCCCGCTCCCCGCCCCCGCCCGGGCTTCCAGAGCAGGCGGGCAGCCCAGACTGGAGGCTGAAGGTGGGAAGGAACTGGGGTGCACAGGTAGAGCTGGCAGCTGGGGGCACGGGGAGGGACGACCTACCCTCCGGAGCTAAGACCCGAGGGCGAGTCTCCCCAGCGCTGCACTGCACACTTGTCTAACGGATCCGCCCGCCCCCCAGTGGTCCTCCGCCCCGCCCCGGCCCACCTGGCCCTGGTGGTCCACGTAGTAAAAGTACTCGCGGGTGCGGGGCGCGGGGCTCTGGCCCTGAGTGTAGGCGACGCCCGCAGCCCCACTGCAGGCCCGCGACCCCGAGGCCCGCGCCAAGGGCAGGGCCCAGGCCCGGAGCACCCCGCACACACACACCGGCCACATCCTCCTCCCGCGCCGGAAGCGGCCGGCGGGTCAGGAGGTGGAGGCGCTGCGTCAACACGCGTCCCCCGCGGCCCAGGCCTCACGCTTCGGGTTCCGGGGGCGGCGGCGGTGGCAGCAGCGGTCACTGGTTCCGCGGCTCCCGCGTGCCGGACTCCAGGCGGCCCGGACACTTGCTTTTCTGGGCCCAGGGGGCAGCCGGCCCTGTGGTCAGATGCGGGTGGGTGCAGACGGGCCCGCATGTGCCTGCCTGTCTTCTCCCCGCTCCCTGGGAAGCCAGCCCGGGGCAGCAGGTGCTGAATTAGAGTTGAACCAACACTGTCCAGAAACCTGTGCTGGGTTGGGGAAGGGCGAATCAGAAAAGGCCCAACCCCCGGGGTAATCCTGGTTTTTGGAGTCAAGTTCATTGCTCCAGTGACCATAGGTGGCCCAGAATCAGTCTCCTTCCTGGCGTAGCCCCTCCCAGCAGCCTTGCTCTCCCCACACCCGCCCAACTTGCTGCTTCCCCCATTCTTCCCTGGCCTGTCCATCCAGAGACCCTTACCAGCAACTGGCTGGCCATACCCCCACAGCCCCCCTCAGGAACATCAGCGACCATGGCTCCCAAGGTTCCATATGTACTTTATTCACACAGTTGTCACCTCTTCAGTCCATGCGTCAGAGCAAGTCTGTGGCTAGATTGCCCCACTCAGGCCCAAAATCACCTGACTGAGGACACACCATCCAAGGGTACCCGAGCTTCTGCAGGGCTGGGCTTTTTTAATAAATAAAAACTCAACTCTAAAAATATATATATATATAAAAACTGGGGAGAAATGAAGTTTTGTAATTGAAACTGAAAATTCCAAAATGGAAAATGTACAAACTGAGAGTCTAGGGGTCCCCTCTCCCCAGCTCTGGCCTCCAGGAAGGGCAGTCCTGGGCGCCCTCGCCTTCCCTCTCGCTCTGGGGAGGGGCAGGATATGGTTTTTGGTTAGAAGCCAAGAAGTGGAGAAGAAAAAGAAATAACTTGCTCTTCACAGAGGACGGGTTAGGATGGCTTGGAGATAAATAACATTTGGGTTAAAACTATGTCATTAGCAAATGTAGTTCTTATATCTTTCCCTCTATTTATATCTCTATACACAGGAGGGTTGGGCTGCAGGATAGATTCTGAATTTATAGTTACACCAAGAAAAAATACTCTTGTCCCCCCCCACCCTGCCCCAAGAATGCCTGCCCATGCCTGCCCCCTCAGAGGACTTTGGTTTGGGGGTCCCTCCACACCCAGAGATAGCCTGCCGGGCTCTGCCTGGGCCAGGCTCAGATGTTGGATAGCCCAGTGTCCTGGAGCCCCCAAACTCCTGTGCAGTTAGTATGCTGGAGGCCACAGGTGGCTAGGGAATGGGGGCCTGAGGAGGGAGGAAACTGCAGGTCAGACGATTGAGGGAGAGAGAGGCGACCTGAAGGACCCACGCCAGGCCCAGGCTGAGCACAGGAGCCCCGGGAGGCAGCTGTGCCCTCGGCGCCTGTGGGGCAGTGTCACTTGGCTCCAGGAAACAGAAGGCACTTTCTTGGGGCTGACCCTGGCTGGCGTGTGGTGGGGGATGGGCAGTCCCCCGGCACTGGCCATGAGGCAGGTGGAGTCAGAGGCACCCTTCTCAGAGTTCCTCTACCCTGGCCGAGTCCTGGGGGAGGGGGGATGTTCCAGGGCTGGGTCGGGCATGGCCGGAGCCTGGCATGCTACCTCCACGGCTGGGGCATTCCCTCCCCCCTCCCCACGTGCTCCCCTGCCCTGGTGCACCAAGCCTGGCTGTCCCCACCCTCGTCCCTCAGCCCACGCGCTATAGCACGCCCTCCATGAAGCTGGTGTCCAGGTGCTGGATGAGCACGCGCAAGAAGGACATTTCCTTGCGCGTGTTCTCGAAGATGACGCGCGGGTCGTCGGATCGGCAGCGCAGGCAGTTGGGCGCCATCACCATGGCCAGGTTGCTTACATCCATTTTGGTGATGGCCACGTTGGCAGGCTGCACGAACACCTGCAAGAGGCAGTGGCTGGTGGGCAGGGGCAGGGCATGCTGGGGGGGGCACACGGTGGGGCAGGGTGTGCCGGGGCAGGGGTGCTGGTGTCCGAGGGTCCCACACACCTGGAGGAAGCGGATGAGGTAGCACAGCACCAGGCGGTTGATGCGGGGCAGCGAGTGCACCACGGCCACGGCAGCCTCCGGGCTCTCGTACTGAGCGATGCACTGCTCGTAGAACTCGTGCGGGATCAGGGGCTCCTCCAGCTCCCGGTACCACAGCTTCAGCAGCGATGCTGCAGACACAGTGAGCCGCTCAGCCAGGCCCAGGGCTGGCACCCCTGGCAGAGAGCAGTATGGACCACCCGACAGACTCTGCCAACAGTGTGGAAGGGGCCTCGGGGCAGGCAGCAGCCGCTTGAGGGCGAAAGGGTCCGCCCGGCCGCGGTGGGCTGTGATGCCCCCGGCCTATGGAGGTACGGACCTGAGAGCTGGGACGGATCCAGGCCCAAAATATGGCTTCTCTGAGGGAGGGCTGTGCAGCTGCTGTGAGCAGGCAGGGCTGGAGGGAGGACCCAGGGTGGCTGTCCAGTGGACAGGAGGCGGCTCTTGCTGGAAATGAACCAGGAGCCGCTACATCACCTGGATTGGGCCTGCTCCTGCTGCCCAGGGGCCCGGGGCTCACCGGGGACATGGGGGTCCTCCAGGCCTGTAGGCACCTTCCATTGGTCCACCTGGAGCTTCAGGGCGTTCACTTCATCAATGTCCCCGGGGACTCTGAGCAGAAGGAGGGTGTCAGGGAGGAGCCTGGCTTCCCAGCCACCCCTCCTCTCCCCCACTTCCCACAGGCCTCCTTCCCACTCCCATACATATGTGTTCCTCTTTAGGGACGCTGAGGCCAAATCCACACGCCTCCGTTTACCCGGCGGCCTGGGCAGGGAATCATGACAGCAGGTGATGGGACAAGTACCACTGACCATGGGACAAGATTTGTCGTCCTGTCACGGAGAGGACCGATGGCTGGGTTACTGCCACTCATGGCTTCCATCTCAGCCTGCTCATGGCTGTACTCCCAGCACTCCCTAAGCCCTGGCGGTCATTTCTGCGGGGGCACTGACCCAGCAGACCTCCCGCCTGGCCCTGCCTCCTGGGGATGGCCAGTCCTGCCTCTCAGAGTGCCTTTCCCACCAGAAGCAATGCTGGCCTCCCTGGCTTCTTTGAAGTTCCAGACACACAGTGGAGCCGCTTCCCCCCCTCCCCCCCTTCCAGGCCTTGGGCACCTGAAGATGCCTTCTGTCTGGTCACCGTTGAGCGCCAGCACCTCCTCAGACAGCCGGGTCTGCACCCAGGGCAGCTGCCGCTCTGGGTAGCGCTCCTTCTGCATGCTCATGATCTCCGGCAGGGCGCTGCCGAACATGGACGGGCTGAACACCGCGTTCTTGGCATGCCGGATCTCCTCCACATTGGGTTTCTTCAGTCCCTGCAAAGACAGCTGCTCTGTCCTGCCAGGCTTAGCTCCCAGCCCCTACCCCCAGGACTACCTTTGGCTTGGCCGCCCCCTCCTCCCTGTCCAAGAATCCCCACTCCTTATACCCTTGAATCCCAGGTTTCTGCCCAGCCAGAGCTGGGGACACCCCGACTCCCTGGCCAGTCACCAGCAGCCTCCTGCTGGGCTGCCTACAGCACCCAGAAGCCTCAGGGAAGAGGGTGGGAATGATTCTAGGCAGGCCAGTCGGAGCTCCTTGCGCCAGAGGGTCCAGGCTGGTGGTTGGGGGCCACAGTCGATCACACTGGGGGGTGCAGAGGGGCCGAGGTGGGTGCAGTGGTGGCTTCTGAAGCCTGCAGCAGGGCTGGAGCAATGCATTCAAAGGAGAGACCAGGCTCTGGGATAGAAGGGGGCAGTTGTAGAAGAGCCGGAGAGGCACCAGGGTGGAGTAGTGGGTGGAAAGGGATGAGGGGGAGGGGTGCAGATACTACCCCCTCCCCCACCCCCTCTCCGGGGGGCAGACGGAAGGGGATGGCTGCAGATCCCAACAGGCCAGGAACAAGGCCCAGCTGGCAGTGAGATGAGGCCTGCTGTCTCTACTGGAGCCAGAGGCAGATGGCTGTGGGAAGGGGTGTGGCTGCCAAACTCGTGCAGGTGGGGGAGGTCCCACTAGGCAGATGTCAGGGAAGCAGTAGGGGAGGGTGCTGCTGGAGCCACCTGCCCGTCTGTGGGGTGGGGCCCCTCCTTGGCAGGAGCCTGTGACAAGTCTGGGCTCTCAGACCTCCATGGCTGGTGGGTGGCCTGGTGTGAGCAAAGGAGCAGGACAGTCCCCTGAGCCCACCTGAGGGGGAGGTTCTCTTAGGGAGGGGTGGTCCCTTGCCTGCCCTCTGAACCCAGCCACACCAGCCAGAGGTGGCAAGCCTGGGGCAGCTGGGGTTGCTGCCACCCTCATGAAGACTGATGGCCTGAAGCCGTGGCCCAGCCACACGCCCCTCTGTCTGCAGTGGCTCCTGACCTAGGGGTGCACTCCTGGCTGCCATCCCAGTGGACTTTCCCGGCACCTTCCGCCGTGGCTCTCACTGCCCCCGTGGGTAAGCTGCCTGAGAGTCCCGCACCCCACACGCCATGCCATCCAGGAGACAGTGTACCTTCTTGGCCCCCGTCAGGGCTGCCTTCTGCAGCTTGTGGTAGCAGTACTTGGCATATGTGCTGATCGCCACCCCTGGAAAGGAACGGGTGCCGGTCAGCTCGGCGTCGAGGTGTGTGGCACAGGGGCTGCAGCCAGCCCATGACTGAGAGAGAAAGCAGCAGAGGAGTGAGAGAGGCAGCCTCGGCCAGCGCCCAGGTGGCCAGCAGGCCCTACCCCCCCAGCCCAGGGCAGTGGGCCCTCATTCTCCAGAGCTGTCCTCTGGAGCATAACGCACCGAAGCAAGGGGCACTTCTCCCATCTCCAGAGGAGCCAGGGTGGAGGAGAAACCTCTCGCTGGCCCACCTCCTCCCGTCTGTCCGTTGGTCTGTCCGTCCATCCAGGGGAGGGGGCAGTTTGGATTGCAGGTCTGTTCCCCAGGAGGAGTCGCAGAAAGAACAGGGCAAGGCTTGGGTTCCAGGGACCCTAAACCTCAGGCTCCCTCCCCCGCTGGCCCTGCAGAGCCATGTGCAGCACCCAGGGGTCCTTGGGATGTGCTGTGCTGGGCCAGTACTAGGGGAGGTCGGGCTGGCTAGACACCAGGCCCTGCTCTCCTGCAGCCCTTCTCCTCATGGGAACCCTGGGCTGCCCTGGGAGAGGGCTTTGGCCCCAGGACCCGATATCTGCAGGGCTGAGGGATGCCTGGGTGAGAGTAAGGAGAGGGAGGCCCAGGCATGGTCCAGGGTGCAAAGGGGACGAGATGGAGGGGATGCTGTGTCTGAGCCTGGGAGGACAATGCCATGGAAAGACCATGCCTTTCAAGGATGTCTTTGGAGTCTCAGCTTACCCCCCCTCTGCCTCTGCCAGCCCACCTTCTCGCTGGGGGGTTGGCCAGCATTCTAAGGGCAAGGATCGCAGGGGCCTTAGCCAGAGCTCTCCAGACAGAGATGAAAAGGGAGGAGGGAGAGAAGGAGACCTTGCGTAGGTGGGTCTGGAACATATGGAGCTCCGAGAGGGAATGAGAAGGGAGCAGCAGTGGTACAGAGAACACACAGTGAGGCCAAGCCCAGAGGAGCATCTGGCCAGCTGCAGACCAAGGGACAGAAAGACAGGTGGCTGGACTATACCCTGCTGGGCCCGCCTGCTTGCCCAAGGGAAGCCTGTAGACCCAAATCTCAAATCGAAACATCTGAGTCTTTTAAAGAAATCAGTTTTTTGCAGACAAAGGGTCCTTAGATCCCAGAGTGAAAAACACTAGCAGCCCTGGCCAGTGTGGTCCAGTGGCTGGGCAGCGTCCCCTGACAGAAAGGCTGCTGTCCCATCCCAGCCAGACCACATGCCCCGGCTGTGGGCTTGATCCTGGGCAGGGGTGTGCAGGAGGCAGTGGATCAATGTTTCACTCTCACATCCATGCTCTCTCTCTCCTTCCTCTCTAAATTAAAAAAAATAGCCAAAGCGGGTTTGGCTCAGTGGATAAAGCGTCGGCCTGTGGACTTAAAGGTTCCGGGTTCGATTCCGTTCAAGGGCATGTACCTTGGTTGCGGGCATATCCCCGGTGGGGGGTGTGCAGGAGGCAGCTGATCGATATTTCTCTCATCAATATTTCTAACTCTCTGTCCCTCTCTCTTCCTCTCTGTAAAAAATCAATAAAATATATATATTTTTAAAATTAAAAAAAAATTCAAAAAACACACTCTACATGTCTTAGTCATAAAAATCTTTTCATTTCTAATTTTCATAAGAGTTTTGTCACTTAAACTGACAAGGGGATTGTTTTTTAAAGTGAGCCAACTAAACAAAAAACCAGCCCCAAACCCTTTTCATGATGCCTGTGCCTAGAAACTCTCTGGGGACACTGACGCTGGCAGAGAACCCTAGGTGCCGCCTCTGAGCCGCGGTGGACGTGGCCCTTCCGGGGAGCTCTGTTTGGAATGGACAGTGCTCCAGCAATGGAGGCCAGAGAGCACTTTGCAGCAGCTGCTGGCCCTCACACTGGGGAAGGTCTACTACCCTCTGGGCAGAGGGGTATGTGCCTCCAGTCCTTGTCTTGGGGACTGTGGGAGACACCCCTGACCTTGTCCCCAGGCTGCCTGGGGCCGGACCCAACCCCTGCTAGAGGCTGTGATCTAAAGACCCAGAGGCAGCCTTTGTGGCCCGAGGCCCCTCCTCTGCAGGACGGGACGGGGACACCTGTCTCCCAGGGGCTGGAGGGCTGACCTCAGAGGCTGATATCACAGGGAGGACCACAGAGTGAGGCCAGGAGTGCACAGATGGCTTTGTACCACGTGCTGCAGTGGGCACAGCCTCCTGGGCCAGGACGTGGGTGTCCACTGCGTGCATGGGGTGAGCAGAGCCCATGAGCAGCCCAGGGAAATCCTGACAGTGTTGTGGGTGTTCTGCTCCAAGCCCACTGCCCGTCTGTCCTCGTCAGGACTCACCAGGTCACGCCCATCCTGTTACAGATCGGAGACAGGCCCACAGAGGGACGAAAGCAGGTCTCCCAGAGTTTGCGCCAGGCAGACATTTCTCCCTCCCACAGCACCCCTGACTGCAGGTCCCAGGGACAGGATCACTGCACCCCCAGCCCCACCTGCTGCTGTAGTTGACTCTCAAGAAGTGGGCTCAGGCAGGAGCTCAAAGCTCCTTCGACTCCTGGGCTAGCAAGACCAAGAGCAGCAGGAATCCTGGGTTCCAACAGCCCCTTCTCCTGCCCAGGGCAGTCCTGAGGAAGGACCCAGTGGAGGAGCTCAGGGGAGAAGGAGCAGGTAAGCAGAGTGAAGAAGGGGAGGTGAGTCTGACAGCAGAGTCCTCAGTCCCCCCGCAGGGAGGGCAGCCTCAGGTGAACGGCTTCCCTAGAGCTTGGGCAGGGTGTGGTTCTGAGCCAGGGCTCCAGGGAGGCCTGAACTGGAGGCATGTGCGTCTTCTCCCAGGAGCCCGTCAGTGACCAGGGCCTCCAACCGGCTCAGGAGGCTGGAGGCTGATGGTTAGTGCCCAACCCCAGCCCAGAAGCGGTTAGAGAGGCCAGGTGGCCGAGGCCAGAGCAGAGCTGTGCAGAGCAGCGCAGGGGCTGCAGAGAGAGGCCCTACCATCTGGCTCCTCAACATAGGGCTTGGGTTTCTTTCTCAACTTGGACTTCTTCTTAGAGTTCCTGTCCAGGAGCTGCTTCATGTGCTGTGTCACTGGGGAGCAAACAGAGCCGTGAGGACCACGAACACAGAGGCCAGAGAGTGCCCATTGGTCCCCTGTGGCTGCAGGAGGCCCCTAGGTCTGCCTGGTCAGTGGGGAAGCTGTGCCCTCTCACAGTCCGACAGCAGTCGGCCATCCTTAGTGCTGCCACAGAGGCGGGAGAGGCTCCTACAACTGCCGCTGGGCTCGCCAACTGTGAGCCTGGCTTCCGGCTGAGTGGCAACCCCCTGTGGTAGCACACTGACCATCAGGGGGGGCAGCTCCTGCTTTGAGCGTCTGCCCCTGGTAGTCAGTGGGCGTCATAGCTACCGGTTATTCTGATGTTCGGTTGATTTGTATATTATCCTTTTATTATATAGAATTTTCCCTTTCACTGACTTCTATTTTGATCTTATTTCCTTTCTTCTGTTTACTTTCAATATAATGTACTTTTTTTTTTTTTAAAAGAAGTTTCTTAAAATAGAAGCTAAAGTCTTTAATCTCATATCTTATTTTCCTTGTGGGTATAATTATTTATTTATTTATTTATTTATTTATTTATTTTTTTTTTTTTTTACTGTGATAAATATATGGGCATTTACTAGTAGGTGCTATAAATTTCCCTCTAAGAACTGCATTGGTTACATCTTACATATTCAAAATGTCTTACTTTCTTTTTCTTTCAGATCAAAATGCTAATTTTTCTTTTGAAAATTAGGGTTATTTTAAACATGGGTTATTCTTTAGTTTAGTACATTCTTTAGTACATTCTTTAGTTTCCTGATGTTGGCTGGCATAAAGGTGTGAACAAGTCTGAGATGAGGCTAAGCTGGGGGTGGGGAACATGTGAACTAGAGTTCAGCGTGTTCTGCCTTGGTTCCCAAGGGTGGTGACCCCACAGTAGATGTCACATACATGCTAGCAGATGAACCAAAGGCTTCCAAGTCTCATCTAGCAGGATGGCTGGATGAGGTGCCCCGCATGGCAGCAGGCTCAGCTCTGCCCTCGCCAGCACTCCTGGGACAGGCTGCCATTCCCTTGTTCTGAGCAGAGGCTGCATCCTCCTGGGCTGATGAGGCCTGCCCTACGGATCAGCCAGCACCCACATTCTTGATGGGGGCCAATGGGAGGGAGCACAAAGCCTCTCCTCTGGGCTCCTTGTCGAGCTGTGCCTGTGGCAGACACTAGGAGTAGGTCTCAAGGTGAGAGGGCAGCCCCGTGACACAGAAGTGAGACCAGATCTCACAGCCCAGACGCAGGTCTCTGCCAGTGTGCCCACAGACACCCAGTCTTCCTGAGACCATCCTGACCTCACTCGCCATGGCTGTGTAGGCCGATCTGATTCCCTCTCACCGCCAGCCAGGCTCTCACACACAAACACGAGGACGCTAGTGCACAAACGTCCGTGCCCAAAGAAGTGCAGGCAGGAAGGTCCTGGAAGCCCTGACCTTTGTACATGCTCACTCACCTTTCACCTCAGCAGGCACTCCCTGGGGACCTGCAGGCTGTGTGCTGAGCAGTGGACACTCTTCCAAGCTTTCAACTCAGAGGAGTGACATTGTAAGGCCTTTGGAAGACACTGAGCTGAACCAGGAGCCCACGGGACGCCCTGCTCCTGGAGAGGCCCAGGAGGACAGAGAAGAGCCAGGCCGCCTGCCAGCCTACTTGGCTGCACATGTAGGAGCCGCCCGGGGAAATCGTGCTCAAGATTCCGCTCAGTGGATAGAGCGTCGGCCTGTGGACTGAAGGGTTCCAGGTTCGATTCCGGTCAAGGGCATGTACATTGGTTATGGGCACATCCCCAGTGGTGGGGTGTGATTCTCTCTCATCAATGTTTCTAACTCTCTATCCCTCTCTCTTCCTCTCTGTAAAAAATCAATAAAATATATATTTAAAAAAAAACCTGCTTGCCTGTGTGAAAATCTCCTGGCTCCCAAGCAGCAGACATGCTGGACGGTGCCTGTGCTCGATCCTGTCCCCTGGGAGCAGCACTGTATGTGCTGCGCTGCAGCCCCGTCACAGAGATGCCTGGCCCCACTCCGCGGCTGGTGCACCATCATCCTGCAGAGCAGGCTGTGGCACGTCTGACTGCAGAGCATGTGCACATGTGTGTCAAGATGCCATTTAAGACCCTGCCCCGGTGCTCACTCTGCCTGGCCCGGGAATCAGTCCAGCCGCTTGGTTGGCAGCACCTGAGCCCCAAACCCTCCCTTAAGTAGGCCAGGCCTGGGCCCAGATGAACATAACACGTGGACATCAGGAGCCCAGGGTGGACACTGACCCTGCACTTGACTCCGGCAGCTGTCAACAGGCGGCTACTATACTGGTCCCGACCCCTGACCTCTTGGGGCAGCTCAGCACCCGCTCAGTCTACAGCATCCTGATGGTCTGTGGGTGTCTTGCTAGACCCAGGGCTGGGCCGATACACTACAGTCACCACGCTCCTCCCTGCTCCCAGGAACCCTCCTCCAGGATCCCCGTTCTCCTCACCACATACAGCCTGAGCCTGGCCAGGGCTGTTACCACCCTGGCCAACGGACACCTCAGAGTGACTGCAGTACGCACACATGGGCTGACTGGGGCCTTCCTGCCTGGTCAAGCAGGGCCTCCGGCCACAGCGGCCTCCAAGCAGAGTGGACACCAGCTGGCTAAGCCATGGGTACCATGAATTCTTGTCCCGGCCCCCAACCTATCGGCTTGTGGCCAGGGACCCTGTGGCTATTCTCCAGGCCTCAGTGCCGAGGAGGGGCTCCCGAGGATGCACATGCACAAACTAGGTGTTTGCTTGGAGTGCCTGTGCCTGCCCCCTACCTGCTTCTCTGAGGCACTGCCCCACGCAGGCCAGGGAGCTCTCGGCTCGGCCCTTGGCTGGCTGGCGGCAGAGCCTGGGGTGCTATGGGCCACGTGCAGGGCCTTACCTTTGGTGTCGTTGACGGGGTCCATGTGCCGGTAGATGTAGCCCTCCAAGTAGGAGTGGAACTTGGGTGTGGGTGGGAAAAAGGCCAGGCAGATGGCCATGAGCTCCCAGCCTCGGGCCAGGCTCTCCAGGCGGAAGTTCTCTGTGGTCTGCCGGCAGAGTTGGATGTACAGCTCATCCCGCAGGCCCTGCATGCTCCAGCCCTTGGTGGCGATCTCCAGGGCCACATGCAGCGGGTCCGCCTTGGCGCGCCGGTCACCCATGTACATCTGGATCAGCTTGAAGATCTCGCACGCCTCCTTCTTCACGTGGCGGTCGCTGGTCACGATCATGGGCTTCTTGATGGACTCGCTGCTCCAGGCCAGCATGTTGGCGATGGATACTTTCCGCCGGAAGAGGCCCTGCGTGTGCTTGTTGAAGTGTTTAGAGGCCCAGTTCTCGATGTCGGTCTCTGAGGACGGCTTGCGCAGAGTGAATGTGGGGAACACGCAGCTAGCACTGGGCATCACACTCCGGGGCTGTCGGCCGCTCTCAAACTGGGCACAGGAGCCGAGGTCCTCAGACTGGGAGGGAGAGAGGGGCTGTGAGGGGGCGGGCCCTATGTAACCCAGCCAGGTGACAGGCATGCCCTCCCACCCGTCCCAAGGTGCTCAGTGGGGCTTTCAGTGAATCTGCTTGAGGGGAGGCAGGGCAGCAACGTCTGCAGGGTGTCCTATGATGGCGCCAGGCTACGCCTCCAGCTTTGGCCACCTCAACTTTACCAGCCTCACAAAGATGGACAGCATCCTCCCCGTGCAAGGCTGCGCAGGGATCTAGAAAGGCCCCTCCCAACTCCTGAGACCTAGGTTTGGGGGGCCAGCTTCTTCCTGTCTGATTGTCCATCGTCCTCCAGTGCTATGAGCTGTGGACAGGAATGAGGTCTGAGCTCTCTAGCCTGGAGGGCCACTCAGGTGGCCCTGCCACGGGGATGCTGACCACCCAAGGCCACTGGGCATGGCTCCCTGGCAGGGCTGGGAATAGACCCAGGAGCCTGACACTGTGAAGCCTTGTGAGCAGAGGGCGTGTAGACCCTCAGACGAGGCTTCATAAGGTAGGTCAGGAGATGAGAACCAGAACATCAGCCAACACCATGTTCCCAGCATGCAACCTGGACAGGAGGTGACCTTGACCTCTGCCTGGTGCTGCCCCAGGACACATCCGGATGGGCCTCTGCTTCAACCACAGCCACAGCCACAGCTGGAGCCGGAGCCTGAGGTCCTGGGGCTACTGGCCCAGGCGAGCTCATCAGCTCTAGGGTTGGTGTCGGGCTCCCTGGTGTGGGAGTTCAGGAAGCTCTGAGTGACCTGACACCCCACCTGCACTGCCCTCACCTGACAGCTGTTCACAGTGGGGAGAAAGAGGCTCAGACTCAGGGTGGGCATGCCTGTCCATCTCCCCTACAACCACGGCCTGGAACCAGGGCAAGGCCTCTGGCCCCAGGTGACCTGCCAGCACCCAGCTGGGCCTCACCAGGGACGGAGGTGAGGGGGCCGGCTCGGGCGTCCTCATAAGGAGGTATTTGCTACCTTTCCACCTGGCCCGCAGCACAATGAGCCGCCCACGTCTTGGGGCTGCCGCCTGCCCCACCCCTGCCTGTCAGCTGTCCGTACCTGTGAGGGGTGGAGGTAGGGTTCAGGGGAGGCCAGGTTGGTCTGCACAGAGACGCTTTTCTCGAGCAAGATCTGGGGGAAGGCCAGCCTCTCCAAGGCGCCCCTCTGCCAGTGCCGGCTGCTCTCCTGCTGGGCCAAGGCCTCGTCCTCGCTGAAGGCGCGCACCACAGGCCCGGGCATGGGCAGTGGCACGGCCCCGTCGCTCTCGTAGCCTGAGCCATCCTGCTGGGAGTCCCAGCTCCCCCTCTGTTTCATGTGGAAGTGGGCCTGCTGAGCCTCCCAGGCCAGCCTCGCCTGCGCCAGGAAGGGCTCAGCGCCCCCCCGTGCCCCGTCTGCGTCGCCCGTCTTGGCCTCCATGTGCTTCGGGGCCAGGCTGGGCCCACACTTGGGACGCTCCTCAGCCAGAGACTGTGGGAGCAGGTCGAGGTCCCCAGGGCTATCGGTGGACGAGGCACTGGGGACATGGCACAGAGAGGGGTTCCTGCTCTTTCTCTTGCGTGTGCCTGGGGAGTAGCCTGTGGAGGACATGGTGTCCTGCTGGCTAGACCAGGACATGGCATCGTCCTGGGCCTGGGGGAGCGGCGAGGGCGGAGGGACATGCCGCACCTCAGGCCCCTCCATGCTGCTGTAGTCCCCGGATGTGACCCCCAGGCGCTGGTCCCGCAGCAGGCAGGGGCTGGGCTGTAGTGAGAGGGACCCCCCACCAGGGTTGGGCGTGTACTTGTGCCGTGGGCCTGCCCGCAGCCTGGGGCTCGAGCCGGCCTGCTCCACGTACACCAGCTGCCGCACATACTCCTTGCCCGCAGGGCTGTACTCCAGGCTCAGGAAGCGCTCTGGGCACTTCTGTCGGGTGAGCACCAGCTGCTGGAAGGGGGAGGCAGAGGCATGCTTGGGCGACTGCGGGAAGGGCACGGGCTTCCGGCCCGGAGAGCGCTGGGGGGAGCCACCCTGGCAGGCACCGCCGGCCTCGTATTGCACGTCCATGGGGGGTTCATCGTAGATGGGGGCCTGAAACTCGATGGGGGGCTCTTCGTATAGGGGGGGCTCGTAGGCATAGCGCGGGGAAGAGGGCTGTGAGTCGCAGGCCGGCTTGCGGGGCTGGGTCAGCAGGGGGGAGCAGCTCCCCAGCTCGGACCTCTTCAGGAAGGGCGATGGCCTCCGCTCCGGGAAGAAGACTGAGCTGTCCGTGTCCGGGGCAAAGGTCTGCAGGCTGGGTGAGTGCTGCCCACCCGAGGGTCTGCGGGAGCGGCCCCCAGGCTGGCTGTCCAGGGGGTACCCGTTGCCCTGTGGGGAGAGGAAGCTGGGCTCCCGGTCAGCAACTTTGATGAGCATGCGCTCCTTGGTGCCAGAGTTCCACCGGAGGGAGGAGGTCCTGGGGGAGGGACAGGCACAGGTTACCTGGAGGCGACACTGGGGTGCACGGGCTGCCAGCCTGGAACATCACCCCCCCCTTCCTGGTCATTTCTCTTCCTCCTCCTCACCCCCCCCCTCCCCATGGGGCCTGGTCCTTAAGGGAGGAGCTCTCTGTAAACTACCTGTACACCCTCTTGTCCTGGGAGCTCCTACACACACCCTAACCCAGCCCTGCAGGCTTCCCTCCAGGGGGCTCTCAGGCAAGGAGCTCCCCGCAGGCCCCAATAGGACTGCCTTGTGACACTCCTTGTAAGGATCCCGGCCAGCACCACACGGCACTGTCTGAACAGTGGGGCAGCCTTCCCAGAGGCCCATGGAGTCACCTGCTCAGCGTGTTCTCACAATCCTGTTTCTGTGGTGTCAGCTGTTAACCATTGCTTTAGTTCCTGATTTTACTTGAGTTTCCTCTTTGTTTCTTTTTTCCCCCTCTTTGTTTCTTGATGAGCATGGCTAATGGTTCATCAACCTTGTTTATCTTTTCAAAGAACTACTCTTGGTTTCATTGTTTTTTTTGTATTGGTTTTTAGTCTCTCTGTCATTTATTTCTGCGTTAATCTTGATTATATCCTACCTTCTACTTACCCTGGACTTTTTTTTTTTTTTTTTTTTAATATATTTTATTGATTTTATACAGAGAGGAAGAGAGAGAGAGAGAGAGAGAGTTAGAAACATCGATGAGAGAGATTCATCGATCAGCTGCCTCTTGCACACTCCCCACCAGGGATGTGCCCATAACCAAGGTACATGCCCTTGACCGGAATCGAACCCGGGACCTTTCAGTCCCCAAGCCGATGCTCTATCCACTGAGCTAAACTGGTTTCGGCCGGACTTTTCTTGTTATTCTTTTTCTAATTCTTTAAGTTGTAGGATTGAATAGGTTAGTATTATTTTTTCTTGCTTTTTGATGTAAACCTCTCAGGACTGTGTTTGCTGTGTCCCAGAGGTTTGGGGTTGTTGTGTGTTCATTTTTATAGGTTTCCATGAGTTTTTTATTTCTTTCCTGATCTTATTGGCGACCCATTCATTGTTTAATAACTGGCTAGTTAGCCTCCATGTGTTTGAAGGTTTGGGGGTATTTTTACTGTAGATGATTTCAAATTACATTCCATTGTGATCTGAGAAGATGCTTGATATGATCTTCATCTTCTTCAACTTGCAGAGACTTGTTTTGTATAGCAACATGTGGTCTACAGCCATGTGTCCCGGGAGGCCACATATATCACACCCACATCCCCGTTGGGTGCAGAGACCCAGGCCTCAGCTACTGTCTGTCAGCTCCCTTAATGATAACTTTTAGTTCTGGAGTTGCCAGCCTCTTTCTTCATTCTCTCGGCCCCTTATTCCTTTTAAGGTTGGCTCCCCTGCACCTTGGGAAGTTTTCCCAGCACTGCCACAGCACAGAGGCCACCCAGCCAGCCTCCCGCACCCGCGTCGCTGACGAGGACAGAGGCACAAGGAGGCTGGAAACACGCCCATGGTCACAGAGCCACATGGCTGGACCCAGGGTCGGCGCAGATCCCCTCCTGGGGTGTTGACGTACAAACCCTGGTACTTCTAAGCTCAACCATTGAAACTGCCGGAGCAAAGGCCCTTTAGTTCTTCAAATTCCTGCCCAGTACTGGGGTTACTACTCCTGGTCTGTGCTGGGGCACCCAGGCCACCCACAGGCACACACCCACCTAGACCCCCACAGCCGTGGCAGGAGACTCCTGCTGCAGCCTGGACACAAGAGTTGGCCAAGGAATGGCTCCACCCAGGATAATGGCTGCTGCACTCCAGGGGCCCAAGCATAATTTCCAGAACCTTCCAACACCCTGCAAGGTCAAACCCAGGGCCAAGAGAGGCCCAAGTCCCCTTCCCTACGATTAAAGCCAAGGTGCCCCCTTCACCTGGGAAGTGTTTGGTGTGCGGCTGGGAGCTCCCAGGAAGACCACATCCTGAGGAGCTTGTTGCTTGGCCAGAGGCCCTGTGATTCCCCAAGGTGAGCAGAGACCCAAAAGCTGCCACAGGAGCCTGGGGCCGCTCCAGAGGCCCCTGCCCTGTGCCGGTGGCCCCGCTATGCACAGCCGCTAGGTGCTTCCTGCTGAGCCAGACTCTTTTCCAGCTCACCTGAGAGCTGCCAAGAAAACCACCCTCTGGAGACAGGACCAAACCTGAGACGGCGGGCTCTACCTGTAGTGAAGAAGCTGGCCGTCTGCACTGTAATCCCGGTAAACCTCGTAGTCCTTCTCAGGAAACACTCCTGGTGGGGAAGAGCTGAAACACAGCGAAATGAAACAAAGGACATGAACATGTAGAAATAGATGCATTTAAAACAGCACAGTTTCCCTTTAAGAATGTGTGGGTGTGGGTGTGTCACCCTTTATGTTTCTCGGGTGTGACCCCAGTGTCCTGGCTCCTGCCCACTAAGCTGTCCCCTCCATCAGGGCAAATGAATATTTCTTCCTTCTGAACTGACCCGTGCGGCGCCCCCGTCCCCCATGCAGGAGCACCACACCAGCAGTGCAGGTGCCAAACACACAGAATCTGCCTGTGCCTCCATCCCTTCCCTTCCAGGAATGGCCATCATCCTCAGAGGAGCGAGATGGACGCCACTGTGCAAGTTAGGTCTCCAGGTTTCCGCTGTCCCTGGTGAAACCCAGCCAGCCCCCCACCTGCCCCACAGCGCCCACCTGCCACTTTCCTCCTTTGCAGCCCCAAATGCCATCTGCCTGCTCCTCCCCAGCGGCTCCTGTGCCTTCTCCCCAGGGTCCAGCTCGGGGTCCAGGGAGGAGCTGGTGCTGCCCTCTCGGCTGAGGCTGCTGCCACGCCCGGGGCTGTTGTCGGCAGAGGCGCGAGGGGACTCTGTATTCTGCTTCAGTGTCTGCAGCTTGGCCAGGGGGATGATGTCACAGCCCTGCGGCCGGTGCCACACGGTGCGCTGCGTGGTGGCGCTGTAGTAGTAGAAGCGCGACGTGTTGGGGTCGAAGAGCTCCCACCACTGGTTCTCGCTGGTGCGCTTGATGCGGACGCCCGCGGGGGGGTCCCACACGCACTCACCAGTCACCAGGTTGGCGTACATGCGCTCGCGGGTGCGCGGCTCGATGATCTCCACCCACTCCAGCCTGTGGAAGAGCCGGCATGAGTGTGTGGCCCGGCGGCCCGGCCCCAGACCCATCCCAGCACCATGGAGCGCCCACCCCCTGGGCACCCTGCAGGGGGCACTTCCTCACAACGCAGCTTCAAATGCAAGACAACCACCCTATCACAAGACCTTCTTGAAGCTTACCAGTGTGTCCTCTTCGCAGGGACACACGAGCAGGCCATCACAGAAACCATGTCAGGTTAGAAGAATGTTGGAAAGATGGCCTTCCTCCAGCTTCCCCGTTAGTGCCCCAGAGCACCGGAGAGTCAAGGGCTGGCAGGTCCACAGCCCAGGGGCCAGGCTCCCCACCTTCACATTGCAGCCCTCTCGCTGGAGTGCCTGCCGTGTGCAAGCTGCTGCCTCTCGCCATTGGGCCCACTACGTTAGCACCGGGGACTCAGCCTGTGGCACCATCGCCGGCTGCTGGCCACACACTGTGCCCATGCCCCTCTCTGTCCCATGCTGGAGGCAGGGCTCAGTCCTGAGCGTCTTGTAACAGAGACCGCGTGGAACACTGTCAGCTGCCATGTGTCAGACCCCTTTCTTCCTTGTTTCTGAGAACTGTCACTAGAGTGCATTGAGCAAACCGATGGCACACAGGGAGCAGGCCCTCAGATGCTCCCAACACTCTCTACTTAGCTGTAGTCTCTGGGTGTCGATGTTACGGATTGCTAACTTTTGCAATTGGACAAAGTTAGAACACATTAACCTCTAAAAAATAATGTATTTTTCTACTACAGAATACAATGGATGAGACTTTCCATGTTGATCTTCAAAGTTTTGGGGTGAGGTCCATGTCTGTCCTTGGGGCAGCACTACCTCCGTGTAAAGATGTGTTCTAATGTGAATCCAGACTTAATGGCAGGGAAGGACCATCACAGTAACCAGAGTTCTTTACGCTCTTTTATAAGAAGTCATGCAGATGTCTCTACATATGTAGTTGTGCAGAAATTGTGGAGAGGATTACCTTTAGTAGAATTTGCCACAACTTTACACCCTCACCCCTTGATGGATACGTTTTTTTTAAAAATTTTATAACAAATTTTTAAACATTTACAAACATAGATTAATATAATGAATATCCATGTATGTGGTTTTAATTTTTCCTGATTATTAATGAAGTCAAGCATCTTTCTCATAATTCTTGAGCCTTTTATATTTGTCCTTTACTAAAAACACATGTAACTTTTGCACATTGAATTTTTTTTTCTTACTGATTTGCACTTATTTATTTACTTATTTATTTTTATTTCAGAGAGGAAGGGAGAAAGAGAGAGAGAGAAACATCAATGATGAGAAACATCGATCAGCTGCTTCCTGTACTCCCCGCACTGGGGATCAGCCCAAAACCTGGGCATGTGCCCTTAATCGAAATAAAACCTGGGATTAGTCCTCAGGCCGATGCTCTATCCACTGAGCCAAACCAGCTAGGGTAACAGGAGTTTTATTTAAAAAAATAAAATAAATCTTTTGAGCCCGGGTAGCGTTGCTGAGGACTGAGGATCAACCTAAGAACCAGGGTTTGATTTCTCATCAGGGCACATGCCCGGGGTTACAGGCTTGATCCCCAGTGGGGGGCATGTAGGAGGCAGTCCATCAATGATTCTCTCTGATCACTGATGTTTCTTTTTTATAAACATATATTTTATTGATTTTTTACAGAGAGGAAGAGAGAGGGATAGAGAGTTAGAAACATCGATGAGAGAGAATCATCGATCAGCTGCCTCTTGCACACCCCCTACTGGGGATGTGCCACAACCAAGGTACATGCCCTTGACCGGAATCGAACCCGGGACCTTTTAGTCCGCAGGCTGACACTCTATCCACTGAGCCAAACAAGTTTCGGCTGATCACTGATGTTTCTATTTCTCTCCCCCTCTCATTTCCTCTCTAAAATAAATAAAAAAATCTATTTTTTTCTTTAAAAGATTTAGGTTTGTCTTTTCACTCTATAATACCTTGACTTTTGATGAAAAACTTGTAACAGTTAAATTTATAAACGTTTTTCTTTTTCTTTTCTTTTCTTTTTTGATTTAAAAAAGCAGGCAAGGATTTATTGAAAAACTGGCCAGGACGGCTGCGGTAGCACCACACGCAGGTGGGTCCCTATAAACTTTTTTCTTCATAATTTCTCATCTGTCTATTGTGTTTAAGAAATCTCTATTTCTAGGTAAAAAATATTCTAAGTTGACTTGCGAAGTTTTACATTTCATGAAATTCTTAATCTATCTGACTTTTGTTTGTGATTTGAAGCCTCCTTCTCCCCACATAGAGAGCCAGGGCTCCCCGCATGGGTGTGGCAAGGCACAGTGTCGGAGGTTCACCGGCTCAGCCGCTCCTGAAGCACCAGTGTCTGAGGAGCACTGGCTGTGTACTGGGTGCAGGATTTCCCAGACCCCACTTCCTGCTTCTTCAGCCACGTCCTAGCTATTCTTGATCTGTGTTCCCTGTGAATTGTGGAATCACCTGTCAACTCTCACAGGATCTATTCCAGGAGAAAACAGAAGTCTTTGTGACGACCTAGTCTCAGGCCCAACCACAACGTATCCACTCATTTAGGTCTTCCCTAACGGGTCAGATTACCCGGCGATGCGCGCCAATCCTGGCCATGCTATCTATGGCCCGCCCTGGACAATGTGTGTGAGGGTGGAAGAGGACACAACGGTCACAAAGGGTGAGTCTGGTCAGAGGACACATTCCTGTTCTTGCAACTTTTCTGTAAGTGTGCAATTATTTCCAGACAAAGTTAAAAATTAAAAAAATAAAAATGGAAGAAAAAGGAAAAAGGATGAGCTACAGCTACCTGCCTTGGGGTGGATCAATGCCCAGGGAGGGCACCGGGACTGGGCCCAGCATCAGACCCGCAGAGCGTTGGCCCAGGCAGCCGTGTCCACTTGCGTGAGAAAAACGTCTCCCCTGTCTTGCATCTGAGGCACAAAGTGGGGCGGTGCCTTGGGCCAGGCTCCCACGGAAGAGGGCAAAGCCAGAAGCGAGTGCAGATCGGCCTCGACGCTCCCACTGAGCCAGTCCTCTGATGGCCCAGCCCTGTGGTGGCTTCCTCACCTGGTGCTTGGCCCCGAGGCCCGAGGCTCGGGCAGGCCAGCATGATGGCTCTCACATTCGCAGTCCTGCAACTGGGACATCTCGGCCTCTCCCCGTGACCCCGGCAGACTGTCAGTGGATCATCGGGATGCCCCCTTCAGCACCACAAGGCAAGGTGCCACCCTGCAAGAGAGCACTGCTGTCTAAGCACATACACCCAGAAAACATGTTATTACACCTTGGGGTTTTGGAGCCATAACAGCCCAGCTGGTCCCTCACAGCCCAGAGTGCTGGCGAGGAGGAGCGTCCAGTCCTGAGCCAGTTTCTCAGGTTCCCCAGACCTACCCCCAAACCCCTGCCGGGACCCAGCCCTGGCCAGCCCAAGAGAAGGCATCCAGACCCCCTCACCAGCTGGCCCCGGGAAAGCTGCCCACCACCTCTCAGATGTAGTGCCCTCCGGCATCAGGCAGGGCACTAAGGTGGCAACATGGGTGAAGCACACAAGGCAGCCCAACAGGGCGACGCTCCAGAAAATCCGATGCCCCTGATTCATGACCAATAGTGGACTTCTCCAAGTGTTATGTTGACTACACACAAACGGGGAAAAACAAAAAACAAAACAAGAACCTTGACCCAAAACTCGATTCCAGATAAACTGTAGGTCTAAATGTTAAGATAGCAGGGACCGGTTTGGCTCAGTGGATAGAGCGTCGGCCTGCGGACTGAAAGGTCCCAGGTTCGATTCTGGGCAAGGGCATGTACCTTGGTTGCGGGCACATCCCCAGTAGGGGTTGTGCAAGAGGCAGCTGATCGATGATTCTCTCTCATCGATGTTTTTTACTCTCTATCCGTCTCTCTTCCTCTCTGTAAAAAATCAATAAAATACATTAAAAAAAATAAAAATAAATGTTAAGACAAACAGGCTTTTAGGGAAAATGTAGACAATAACATGTGTGGTTTTACAGTAGATAGAGGTGTCTTAATAGTTTTTCTGCCCCCACCTCCTGCTCTCCCTTTTGGGAACTCCAGTTACACAGACTCCTGCCAGCTGTCCCACATTTCCATCATGGTCTTTCTTGATTTTGATTATTTAAAAGTAATTTTCCTCTCCTTGTTTTAGCGTTGATCAGTCTTACTGTTTTGTCTGTAAGTCACTCATCTTTGCTTCTGCAATGCCTAGTCCGCTGCCAATCCCATCCAGTATGCTTCCATTCAGACAGTTTAAACTCTAGAAAGTCTAATTTGGATTTACTTATTTTTTTAGTTAACTGTCTTTACTTTACCATGTCTGTACTTAATGTGTCCAATGTTTCCCTCAGTTTTTGAATGTATGGAATGCAATTATATCTGCTTTCAGGACCTTGTCTCCTCAGCTTATCATATCAGTCAGTTATGCATCAGTTTTGGTTGACTTTTCACTACATTATGACGTATTTTCCTGTTTTTTTTCCATGCCTCCTCGTTTTTTAAAATATATTTTATTGATTTTTTACAAAGAAGAAGGGAGAGGGAGTTAGAAACATCGATGAGAGAGAAACATCGATCAGCTGCCTCCTGCTCACTCCATACTGGGGATGTGCCCACAACCAAGGTATATGCCCCTGACGGGAATCGAACCTGGAACCCTTAAGACCACAGGCCAATGCTCTATTCACTGAGCCAAACTGGTGAGGGCGCCTAGTCGTTTGTTTTCGATGCCAGACACTGTGAATTTTACCCTGGAAGCTGTGTATTAATACTTTTGTGTCCCTTTGGTCTACCCGCCCTAGTCTCTGTTGCTTTTCCAACGCAGCATATTCTTCAGGGCAGCCTGTCCTCCGAGGACCAATTCGTTTCCGGCCGCATCCCCCGTTACCTGCTGCTGCTAACTGGGCTCTCAGGTTTGTAATGTTTTTGTTTTTTCTTTCTTAGCTCTCTCACATTCTCTCCTTTGGTTAATTTTGTCTTTTCTTAGAGCTCTTCTCTCTTTATGCATTTTGAATGTTTTTAATGCAGAGACAGTTCTATAAAAAAATGTCCTCCTGTCTCCTGGGCTAATCTTCTAAATGTCTTCTCGCCAGCCGTTCCATTGCCTTTCCTTCCCTTTCTCTTGTGTCTACCTCAGGGTCCCTTGCTGCCCCTGATTACTGCTCATCCCTAAGGTCACAGGACAGGCAGTCAGGACCCCCTAACAAGAGTCAGGACAGCCAAAACCGGTGTGACTCAGTGGATAGAGCGTCAGCCTGTGGACTGAACGGTCCCAGGTTCGATTCCGGTGAAGGGCATGTAACTTGGTTGTGAGCACATCCCCAGTAGGAGGTGTGCAAGAGGCAGCTGATCGATGATTCTCTCTCATTGATGTTTCCAACTCTCTATCCCTCTCCTTTCCTCTCTGTAAAAAATCAATAAAAAATAAAAAAAAAGAAATATAAAAAAAAAGAAACAGGACAGATTGAAATCAATGTGTTGTTCCAGAATGCTCTATTGCCAAGTTTTCTTACAGGCTCTGCTCTGAAAATGAGATTCTGGTATATTAAGACATTTTTTGGTTGCAAGAGACAGAAACCCAGCTCAAATGGAAGACACCATGCCTGGGTGAGCCCCAACGGCAGGACTCTCAGGAAGGCCTGCAGCTGCCTCCTGCTCTGCCAGGCTGGCTGCCCTGGCAGGCTGGCTCTCCGTCTGCCACACAGCAGCACCCATTTCCCTCAGGTGCCAGCAAGCGAGGTGCGAGGGTTCCTAATGAGCCATCAGGTGCTGCCAGGTGGGCGGGGGGAGGGCGACTCCCCAGCAATAGCTCCTTCAGGGTGACCTTTGCCCTGCCCCCACACTCCAGCCGGGACCCAACCCTTGCTAGTCTGCTAGTAAGTGCATGGGAGCCACAGCCCAGGCCACGGAGGCCCTCGTCTCAGCCAGCGATCGGCAACTCCAAAGCTAGTTGGGGTTTCCCATCTTCTCCCCATTTCCCGCGTGGGGCCCGATAGAAATGCAGGCAGAGCACCCACCTTCCTCTGGCTGGGCCCCGCCCCCAGGCACCATGCCCCGTTCTCCACGCCCACCAGGCCACAAGCCCCTTCTGTCAAGTCCACGTCCCACTGGTGCCCCTAAAAGTCCTCTTTGTTCAACGCAAACTCAGCCCCCTCAAGGCTCAGGCTTTCACTCCTCCCAGTTGGCTGACATCCTCCTCTGACTTAAATCTTGTTCCTTATTTTTCCATCTTGTTGTTCATTTTGGTGAATAAACAACTGTTGACTCAGCCATGGCTTCCAGAAGGCCTGAGTGCCACTCTCACTGCTGTTTTCCCAAGTTCCCCATGTGAACAATGGGTGCTCTCAGTCCCATGTCTGCAGGCTGGGCTCTGAGCAGCAGGCACAATGCCCCATTCTGCTAGGCAGGGCGGCTGGCATCTCCGGTCTCCTGCTCCGCAGGATGACCGCCCTGACCGCTACAGCTGTGGCCCAGCCCACCATCAAGTCATGGAATCAGCTCGCAGGTTAACATCAGCTTCCAACCCTTCCGGGCCACCCCACAGAGGAAGGATGCGTGTGTGGAACCACATCATTGGGCGGAAAGTGAATCTGACGGTGGCGTTGTCTCTGAAGCACTCGGAGAGCTGCCACCACAGGGACGGAGCTTGGCTGCTGCCTGGTGCTCACAGTGACAGGACAGGCAGTCAGGACCCCCCCAACCCCTGGGACGTGGCCAAGCCTCCACTATCCCCGCCTTTCTGGACTTCCCTTGACAACTAAACGGCACCAGGGGTCCCGGTGGGACCAAGAACAAAATATGCTAGTGGTCGGAACAGAGAAGCTGGCCACCAGCAGCGACAGCCACACCTCCAGCTGCATGGCTCTGCCAACTGGGCTCGGAGACAAGACAGCTGCGGTGGCAGGCTCTGTGACAGAGGTGGCAGCCTTTGCAGCCTGCAGGGCTGTCTGTGCCCACAAGACCCCCCTTCCAGTGCCTTGAGGGTCAGAAGTCTCCATGCTGCTAAGCCCGTCCGCCCCCCCCCCCCCACATGGCAAGCCAGGGCTTCAGCAGGGGCGCTGGGGCAGCGTGGTGACCTCAGACCCAGGACAGCACCTGGCCCCAGGGAAGGAGAGCCGGCGCACCTTGCGGCAGATGATGCTGTTCTTATACTGAAGCCCACTGTGATGGCGTAACATCTGACAGTAGGATGAGGACGCTGCTTAGGACGCATTCCCAGCGCCTGCCTCAACTTCTGCTCAGGGAATCAACAAACACTAATGGAATCACTGCTGATCTCTTAACAGAAGTCTCCTTTCAAATGAAACAATGGTTAAGAGAGGAAGTGGGACACACTTAGGCCACAGGGCACCCAGCAGGCTGGCCCTGCCCCAGGCCACAGCTGCTAAAAGGAGAAAACGGGGCTGGGGAGTGTCTCAAGGAAAAGAAGAAGTCTTCAACAGCGAAACTGACGACACAGATAAGGCAGTGCTAGGCAGCCTGGCCCACCTTCCGCCCAGGACTCCGGCGCCTGGACCTGATGTGAGCAGAACTTGTGCTTTGTGGCAGTGAGAGTGGAACCTTTGCTATGCCCATCTCTTCCCCCTCCCAGCCACATTCAGTGTGCTTGCTTCCCGTAGTCTTATGTATGCTTTTGTCCTGCACTTTACTTTTTTTTTTTTAAATATATTTTATTGATTTTTTACAGAGAGGAAGGGAGAGAGCTAGAGAGCTAGAAACGTCGATGAGAGAGAAATATCAATTAGCTGCCTTCTGCACACCCCCTACCAGGGATGTGCCCACAACCAACATACATGCCCTTGACTAGAATCAAACCTGGGACCCTTCAGTCCACAGACCGATGCTCTACCGCTGAGCCAAACCGGTTTCAGCCTGCACTTACTTTTAAAATTGTATTTTAAATAAAAGTGTTTTTTAAAATATTTTATTACTTTTTGTGTGTGTTTATCTTCAAGCGAGGATATTTTTCCATTGAATTTTTAGAGAGGGAAAGAAAGAGAAACATCAATGTGAGAGAAACACATCGATTGGTTGCCTCCTGCATGCAACCTGACCAGGGCACAGTCGGGGAGGAACCCGCAACCAAAGTACATGCCCTTGACCAGAATTGAACCCGGGACCCTTTGGTCCACAG